GGCCTCAAGCCTCTCCCATCCGTACCGCCTGTGCCCTTCCAAACCTGCTGCCTGCAAGTGATGCACCTGCCAGAAATCTGCCCTGTCTCCGCCGGTCGGACGCTCTCCTCGCCTATGTAGTAAAGGCCGCGTCCGATCTGAGCTAAATCCGAAGCCAAGTAGTGCTCAGTGGGGGCTGCCATGGTCGAAAACCCCCAGCATGCACCAACATGCACGAAGGCTGCCCCTTGTGAACCAACTGGGAGCTCGACTGACACTGCCTCTCCTTCCGGCCTCTCTCTCATCCTAAGTATGTCTTGCCTCTAGACTGGACTGCTGCCCGGGACGGCGGCCCGCCGGAAGGCTCGAAATTCGATGATAACCGCTTCGAAGAGCTCCAGCGGGCCGCCGAGTTCGCTGCAGGGGGGCTGCTGGCAAATTCCTCTTCGGTACCGTTATCAGTCAGGTGACGCTAAGCCAAAACTCGAGTTTTCAGGACCGTCCGATCGATCGCGAGAACTTAGGGATTGGTAGGACGCATTCCGGCCGTCCGATAAGGCCGACCTTCATTTGGTTGCCCCAGCCTGCATTGCAATCTGCAGACAAAATGGCCGGTGCAAAGTCGATGGTCAGCAGATCACCGACTCCGACCAACAAGCTGTGAATTAAGGCTGTGCGGGTTTGGATTGGGAGCTTTCGCATTCCAAAAAGATCTTTGCAGCATTTCGTGGTGCTGGTATAACTTGTGAAATGCTGAAGTGTGGTGGAGAAAGAAGCTTGACTTGCGCAACTGACACGCCCACCGACGCGCCACCGCATCGTTGAGCTTCTGGACACACACCGGACTAGGCTGAAAGGAATCGCATTGCTTTCGAGTCACAGAAGGGGCAACTGAAGTTGGCGGGATGGCTAATGCCAATGGCGATGCATTCTACCTGAGAGAATCCATTCCCCCCACAAGCACTGGTGAACTGGATAGCCTAACGTTTGCTGTCAAGGATTGGTAAGGTTGCAATGGGACACTTGAAAAACGTCTGTTGACAATCCCTTCAGTGAACAAGTCCCCTCCTCTAAGAACATACATTCTCTGCCAAGGTCATTAGAGGCTGCATTTATCTGTTGCGAAACCAAAATGAAGCCCCTGCAACTCTGCTGCATCTTCTCCGTCTAGCAAGCTTCTGGCACCACTTGGCTGTAGACTGACCCGTGTAATACAGCGTTCTTTTGATTGCCAGTCTTTTGTCACCCTCAAATGTCAACATATGCCCTTACGACCTTGACTCAGCCTCACTTTCGTAGAAGGTGAGGGCCTGGTCACTTACTTTCGCAAGCCTGACTGCAGTTCAACCTTTGGATTAACCAGTCAGCACTGAAAAACAGCGCTCGTTTTCCATTTTGCCAGTCTCCTGTCGAAGTCCCTTTCTGAAACATGCCCTTACAATCTTCACAGCATTGATGTGAAGGGCATGATCACCTACTTCGGCAACCCTGACTGGGGCCGGACTCATGCTGTTCCTCAAGAGTCCTCCCCAGTGGTCGAAGCACTGCTCGCAGCTGGCGCCAAGTGTGTGGGCAAGACCATCATGTGTGAAATGGCCTCCAGGTGAGGAACTATGCCAAAGCTAGCAGCTTAAGCTGGTGGTGCCGTGAAAGGTCAACGAGTTCTGTGCGCACTCTGCCTTTGTCCTGCGTAGAGCATGGTCGGGGACAGGTTTCCAATCTCTAGTATGGATTCGTTGGAGACTCTGTCCAACAGTGTGAAACAGTCGAAAATCTAGTTTCTGAGATGATATGGTAGATGTAGGACCCTGTATCTAACATGAAAGACTGGCTGCAGGCAGGGACTCTTACTTGAGACTGTGCTTGAAAAACATAGGAAAGCATGTCTGCAAAAGCTGAACTTCAGAAAGCGTCTGCATAAAGCTTGATTATCAAACTGGGCATTCGGCAGCCACAAGAAGAGTAAGATCGGCCCAGTTGGCGATATTCAATGAGAAATAGTAGAGACTGAATTTTACTTCTCTCTGCAGCATTCGTGGCGAAAATGAGCACTTTGGCACCCCCACAAACCCCGCAGCGCCTGGGAGGGAACCCGGAGGGTCGTCCAGCGGTTCAGCGGTAGCTGTGGCGTCAGGAGAAGTGGACTTCGCACTTGGTGAGGCCTCCTCTCTACTCCTTCTTTGACCATTTGCCAGACACTCGTATCATTATTGTGATTCGCCTGGTTGAGGTCGTGGTTGCAGTATGTTTTCAATCTGGTCATAACGGAAAGGGGTCCTTCTGCAGGGTTTAGAAGCGATCTGGCAGTGAGGTACGGCAGGGACCTAATCCTTCTGGTAGCACCTTTTTTGGGGACCATCCGAGGCCGACCTCGAAAGTCATACATATCTTGTTGTGCCATTACCGGATGCTCAACCGTCACTGCCAACCGTTTGCTGTGCGTCACCCTGTTGTCAGCTTAGTTTCTTCTGAAACTTTGGGCTGTCATAACGCCGTCAGATTGGTCAGATCGTGAAGTTAAGCCTCTGTACTTTGCACGTTTCAAGATCGTGCAGCCTTTCTTTCTTCTCCACAAAGGAAACGCTCACGCTCAGAATTGGGCCTCGTCCCAGGCACTGACACAAGCGGAAGCAGCCGCATCCCCCCTGCCTACTGCGGCGTTCTCGGCATTCGGCCAACGCATGGGGCCCTGTCTACTGAACACGTGGCACCGCTGAGCCCTAGCCTGGACACCGTAGGTGGGCCTGCTTATGATCGCCCGACCTTCTCGTTCTTCCCTGATAAACCTCATTGCTCAGCTTTCAACATGTTGACGGTATACAAGCCTACGTTTTACTGCAGGTTCTTTCAAACATGGCTGCCTGACCCGAGTTGCAAAAATCGATCCCAAGAATTTGCCCAATGCGCAGAACCTGGGCTCTTCGGTGACAAAGAGGCTATCCACCGAACGGCCCAGGTTCTGCGCATCAGGCAAAGTTCTTCGATCAGTTCGGATCGGACTCGGGTCAGGCGGCCATGTTTCACCGAACCTGCATTCTAAATACGATTACGGATGGCAAATCATCACGCATGCAGCCGCGAGCACAAGGCCTCTTTCACTGAAGCAATCCTGAGCCGCGAGAGGAAAGTCTTGTTGGTGATATGGCTGCTGTGGGTCCCACGACCGATTGTCGAAAGTACTGAATCAGGGCGAGCAGTCCTTTTGGTCCATGTCCACCCGAACGTTTCCTACCTCTCCTCTGAGGTTTGCAGTTATCCGTAATCCTGGTCCAGTGACAGAAGCCGCTCTTTTCGTTGCCCGCCTCAACAAGCACTTCGTATGTCAATTCCGAAGAATCTGAATCTTCAAGGATTCGAGCGTAGACCTGAGGGCTGGTAAAGTATGCGGAACCAGCAAACCCGTTTACTCTAGGACCGGGCTCACCTTCCCCTGCCAACTTTTCTAATCAGACCCCTCTCGCTCCGTCCCGTCAGGCTGGTTTGCGAGGGATCCCCTCGTTTTCGAAAAGGTCGGGCGCGTCCTCCTTCCGCCGCCCCGGTCCCCGCCCCGCCCCCCCAAGCAGCTGCTCATTCCTAGCGAGGTGTGGGAGCTGTCAGAGGGCGTGCCGAACGCGCGCATCATCTCGCAGGTCAAGGGCGCGCTGCGGGACACCATCCGAGGTGGGTCTTTGAACGGGTATTTCCTTTGAGGCTCTGCGCTCTGCAAAGTTCTGGGGTTGCGGAAACTGCTGGGTTACATAAACTGCTGGATTGCGGAGAGTATCTGCCAAACGGGCGGATCAAGGCGCGCTGCAAGACACCATCCGAGGTCCGTCCCCGACCGGCCCTTTTTCCGCCTTAAGCTTTGCGATATGTAGACATTCCCGTATACGGAAACTGCTGGGTAGATGGAAGAGAGTCTACTTTCTTTCGTCCAAACAGTCGGGCCTTTGTCATCAGCACAGAACCTATGCTCGGGAACCTGCTGATCGTCCACTTCACGAAACATCTGATGTACATTATAGCGTGTTCGCTCCAGAAGAAAAGCCGCCGAACAAATGTCTCACAGTTGTTTCACTTATCTCTTAGCGAACAGGATTGGGCACATCAAGCTAATCGTCCTTCTCACTCTGCTTTTCTTTGCCGGTCAGCGGAGAAGGTTCGGCAATTCAAGCCCAAGGTCCGTTTTACAGTGTTTTTTGGTTCTCTTGGTGAAAAGGATCCGGCACATCGAGGTGAAACCCCTTCGTCCTTTTGACCCTGCTTTCTCTTCATTCACTAGCGGACGGAATCCGGTAATAAAACTCATTCACGTCTGCCAAATGTCCGTTTTACAGTGGTTTCATTTCCTTCCTAGCGGACAGAATCCGGCACATCAAGCTCCTGCCGGACGTCCGTCTCACATGCTTTTCTCGTTTCCCTAGCGGACAGAATCCGGCACATCAAGCTGAGCCCCCAGCTCCAGGCGGGCATCCCCTCTTTGGCCTACTTTACCGCACGCCCCTTCTTCCAGGCGTCCACCCCCTTACTCGCGCTCACTGCGGCCGCTGACACCATCATGTGGTGAGAGCGCAAAGAAAGGCTCTGGAAAAACCGACTATGTCAGGATGATCTTTCTCGTCGCCTTTGTCATGGAGTGGTTACTTGATGATGCTTGCCATTTCCCGCGAAGCGAGGATCTGAACATGTTGCGCTCTGCCAGACAATCTGATGCGTGACCTTGGGAGTCTCGCAAGGAGTTCTGTTTGCGACGAACCCCGGCGACTTCTTTCATCGTCTTTATGCGTCATAAGTCCTGCTGACGATCATACGAGCAATTGCAGGGCCAAGCCAATACATTCGCGCTCAAGCTCACCGCCGCTCTCGGTTGTGCTGAAGTCTAGACCCGAAGTTTTCCATCCTAACTCTGGCGTCCGCCCCTGATCGCAACCTCTTCCGCAATCTTTGATCCTGCTGGGTAGATATTTGCTCAGCATAAGAAGTGGATCCAATTATTTCCGCCAACTTATCTGCGGCCTGGAGTTATTAAATAGATATGGGAAGTGGACTGAAGTGCTTCCCGCTGAGTCTTCTGCGGATTGTGCAGGCTAGAGTTTCTAGATATACACGGGAAGTGGATCGAAGAAACGAAGCCGAAGCTGGGGAAGGAGCTGACCGGCATTCTTGCCCGAGCTCGGGAGTGGCCGCAGGACGCCCTGCCTCACGCGCGGCAGGCGCAAAAAGAGGCCCAAGCGTTCTTCGACGAGCTTCTAGAGGTATCGCTCCCAGATTCCAGACCCTAAAATCCCGAGAAGCTGCTGATGTTCAATCCTTGGTCGCTTCAGGCATTGCTCAAAATTTGCGAGTCCTAAAACTATTACGCCCGTCACCCCAATCCTTACTCGCCAGAAGGGTTCTGTATAGGCAGCCGTCTCCCGAATGCGGAAAAATAAACAACGCACAGCTTGAACGTCAAATCTAGGATAGATTATCGTTTCCGCAAACATATGATGAAGAGACGTGTTGACTTGCACTAGCATCAAGCGCGTCAGGTACAATGCTGTGACGTACTGCACACATCCTCTCCGCGATGACGTCAGCCTCCCGTCACACAGGACGACGCGCTGCTGTGCGTGCCGACCACCGCCGGCCTGCCGCCTGCGGTGGGCTCCCCGCCGGACGTGCTGGCGCCGTTTGAGGCGCGCGCCGAACCGCTCGTGTCGTTGAGCGCGCTTGCGGGCTTTCCACAGGTGTGAAGACGCGCCGCTCTTACCTCGCTTACGGCTCTTATCGAATCTCTGAAGTTTGTCTGTGCATTGTTTGGATTAAAAGCAAGGAAAAGGAAGAAACGGTTGGTAAGCGGCAGGCAATAAATGTTGCTGCGAATTCGACAGAGGGTGCTGCGAAACAACCTGAGGGTTAGTAATCAAGACGGTTCTGCTTTGCAACTACTCCCGCATTCTGAATTGCAAGATGGCCGCTGTGCTTAACTGCCCAGCCTCGTGTTGACACTGCATCGTCATGTCGTTAGGTGACACTACCGGCCGGGAAGTCGGACGAAGGCTGGCCTCTTGCGGTGGGGCTTGCAGCACAGCGGGGTTCGGACTTGTTTCTGTTGGAGGCGGTCACCCTTCTGGCGCAGCGATTAACAGTTTCATGAGAGACCTTTTTGGAATCCCGGTTGCTATCGGCGGGCCGTTAGCTGAGCGTGGATGCATCAACTCCGATGCGTATTCTGACATTGTGCGTCAACGACCCAGTCCGGCTCTGACATTATCTGCTCCGGTCACTGACTCAAGGTGACCTTATTTGGCTGCCATCTAGCTCGTGCCGCCAGACCTTATCCGCAAGTGTGTCGGACTGAGACCTTCTGACATTGAACTGTCTTGCTATGTGGACAAGCGGTGTCCGTCCTTGACAGGCGCTGAATGCATCTCATATAAGTGGCAACAGGCGCGTTACCTATCGTCATGACCTGAATGCATCACACGTAATACTAGAGTACCACATCAGGCCAACAAAGAGCACTTCTTCATTTTGTCGACGTCCAAATTTACGAACGGGGAGTGCCTAAGTTGGTGCTTGAAATATTTTAATCTAAGAATGCCCCTTCCAAGAGGATATCAAGGCTGCAATTATGTCGACCTTTCATTACGCTTATAGAAAGGCGGCCGTCCCTGGGCGTCCGGTAATTCAAGCTTAAGTGGAGGAGCTGTTCATTTCAAGTGCTTTCTGTGATCCTTTTTTACACCCTGAAGTAGTTATAATTAGTTATAATTGGAAGGAACATCAACGTCAGGTGAAGCTCGCACGGCGTACTGAGCCCGGCTGCGACTTACCACTCGCACGAGACTCTTAAAGCACGCATCTGCACGTTGCTCGTAGGAAATTGAGCTCGAAGAGTCTTTGTACTGCCGGTATCAAAGTTAAAACGTCCTACTAGGTACATGTTAGGCATGCTAGCTTGCGTTGACCACTGCTGCAGGGCAACTTGTACGGAAGCTCAATCCTGATGGCGTACTAATAAAAAGTTCGTTTATTTTATCGACGACCGCAAACGTTGCAGCTAGCTGATGAGACACATCCGACGGGTAAAGACGAAGGAAGATAATGTCGTCATGCACGTGGCACACTGTGCTAATGATTGGTCCTAGCCCCGGATGATCCCCCCGGCCGTACACGCGCGAGCTTGCCACCCCCGACCTGAACTAGCTAGATGAACTCAATTTGGCAGTTGGAGTTGCACGAAGGGAGAACCCCGTGAGCCAGAGGGACGGGGGATACCTGGACAGAGGCGTCAGCACAGTTGCCAGAATGCATCTGAGTACACCTGAGCAAGACCAGCTGTCAGTGTAGGAGCACTCATGGGGAGTGTTACTAGAACGTAGAAGCAGCAAAGGAGAGGAAAAAGACTCAAACAAGACGAACCTTGGTTGAAGGGGATGAAGGAAGAGGAGGAGGAATGTTGCGCCTGGACTATAAGAGCTGTTATATTCTCATAGACTGGTAGCTAGGTGAAGGGAATTGCAGCTCACACGCCTACTTGTCTTCCCCGACAGTTTCATAGCCAGTTCAAGTCATGGCGGTTCCCAAACGGTGTGCACTATGGCTCTTTTGCTTGCTTTTAGCAGGCAGCCGTCTTGCTGCTGCAAAGAAGGCCCAGGCAGCATTTGGAGACCGAGAGGTGCTTTCTACATTCCCCTCCAACCCAGGATTTCCGGAAGGCGTTGCTGTCTTCAAGGACAAGGTACGTGAGCTGCTTTACAACTCCTTTCCTTCAGACGACTAGCAGAGCCTCACATTCATATCCCTACCTCTATTGTCTATTTACACATCGTTTTATCCCGCACGCTCATCCTGACAACTCACTTTCTTGCGAAAGAGGGCAGTCAACTACTCCCGTCCTCAGTCCAATTTGAACAATCTCTCAGCATCTCCACTTGCTCCGACTCTGAAGCTTTGTTGAAGGTTCTCTTGTTCCTGCATTTTCATCATATGAGCTCAACAGGATTGCTTGTAAACTCCAACATTTGCCAATCCTTTGCCCCTACTTGGAATCGCCTTCAATGGGTTCATTGTCTGCTTCCAATTCAACAGGGTATTAGTAACAGCAAGGTTGTCAACTGCTTTTGGCAGTCAATGTGCCATGATATTTCAACCCTCCGTTCTCCTGCAAGCCTGTAGCTTCCTCATGTTTCCTTGCTAGACGGGGAGCAACATGGGTTGAGGATTCACAAGCATTCAAACCCTCATGTTCGAGCATGCTTGCCAGTCAGAACAGAGACTAATGCAGCGCTTGGGTGAGTTCTTTTGCAGGCATATGTCTGTGGAGCAGCCACATCTCAGGGCACCGCAAACAGAAACCCTTCCACTATCACAATCACTGACCTGAAGACTGGGGCAGTAAATACAGTCTTCGTTTCAGGAGAGGTAGGTCTGCGTCACTCAGTGCCATTGCTGCAAGTGCTTGAGATAGGCTGATGCAGATTTTTGGTTTTTCGAACAAAGCTACAAAGGATGTTTCTGTGGTTGTTGAAGCTTGTGCTTTAAAAACCGACAATCTGCGTTGTGTCCAGAAGCCACGGGCGGTCTCTTTTCAGGAGTTGCCACACTTTCACATGGTCAATAGGATGACATCAGGGTACAGTGTAGCAGATTTTGTCTCTACCACGTCTTTGGATTTAAGAATCTGTGGCATCTGCTGGCCATCGCAAAGTTGACGACTTCTGGCTTTCATGAACGGCCTGCATTGAAAGTCTGGCACACACCTTCTGTCCAAACACGAGATCAATTATCAGCTGCAAATTTCCAAGGGCGCTTGGTCTGCCTTTCAGCTAGCAGTATCCCGGTAATGATAATTCGTGGAGCAGACTGTACCTGAAAATCTGGCCGACTTATCAGAACTGTAGACAAAAGTACGCACCGCAATGTTGCTGTCTCAAAATTTTGCGCGCTCAACACGTTGTGATGATCTTTCCTTCTGCAGGCAACATCATGTGTTACAAGCCTTGCATTGCTATCCAACAGAACACCTGCAAGGAATCTCATTCCTGTAATGCTAGTGTGCACATTCATCTTGGCTTGCTCAGAGCGCCCTGACAAAGTCTCAAAATGAAAGCTTCTGATATCTGCTCCACACCAGTTCCACCTGCCAAATGTCTCAACTCGCGTATTTGTTTCTAACAGGACACAACCAAAGAGCACCAGCTCTCTTGCTGCATCGTCGCGCCAACTGAGATCAACGGGAACGGCAAGAAGAACAGCGAGGAGCACCACTCCTTGTATGTAATGAGCCCCCAGCTCGGGATCCTGCGGTTCGACCTGAAATACCTGCAGCAGAGCCTGTATGCCCCGCCCCCTGCTGGTGGATGGATCGTGGGGAATGACCTTATCTTCGATCGGCAGGTGAGTTCAATCTGACAATCTTCTTAACTTTCTATAGGATCCATCTCTTCTGTCGCTTGTGGTAGTGCCTGTGCCGAGTGGACAAGTGACCAAAAACGGTTAGCAGCTATAATCGGAATGCCAAATCGGAATGCCGAAGCGACAACCTTTTACGGCTTAGAGGCAGGTTGATCTGCGGGGCGAGTGACAAGTTTCAGCCCCGGAACCTGCAAGTCAGGATCTGTTTGATCGAGGTCAATTGCAAAGACGTGATTCTCTGTGATCGGAGTGACTAGGACTGACGTAGATGCTCAGCGCGCTTAAAAAGCGGTATGGATGACTTGTAACCTGAAGCAGCTTTCTCATTTATCAGCAGTGTAATGCTTCTTCTTCGTGCCTCTTTGTGTCGGGGACTCGAAAAGCACCTGACAGGACAAGGAACAGCATTTGACCTCTCTCTCAGAAAGGTTGCCGTCGAAAAAGCCACTGTAATATCCATCTCCAAATCCAAGGCCATGGCTTCGATGCGCACCCGTCCTGGCACCACTCCCTCTCAGGGTCGCCTTTTCGTCCCTTGATAAAACGCAATGCCTCTCCCAGATTAGATTGACAGGAAGTCAAGAACCCAAGCATGAGCTAACCCGTTTCGAAATAACTCCCTCGCTCTTTCATACTTGATGCGCACGCAGTGCCCCTCTCAGTTCTAGTTGAGAGTAATTCCACACAGAATCCACCCCTCATACCGTGCTAACCCCTTCCAAGAGCATTTCCTCGCAGCGTCGCCTTTTCGTGACCGAGTCCAACCCGACCCCGATCCGCGGCGGGGGGAAGCTCTGGATGATCCCCCCAGGCGGTGGCCCCCCGACCGTGTGGCTGGAGGGGGATCCCCTGGCGACCGGGTTTCCCAACGGTCTGGACCTGAGCCCCGACGGCCAGAAGCTCTATTTGACGGTTTCGACGACAATCTCCCCGGAACTCGGGAACGGCATCGTCTACTCGCTGCCGATCACCGCCCAGCCGCCGGCCACTTCTGCGCTCCAGGTAGGCTGACGTCAGCGAATCATCTGGTGACGTACACTGAATTGGCTAAACCTCTGATGTTTGGTGGTTTTGACTATGGGTGCCAAAGGCCGCGATTTTGTTTGGTGAGGTAGCGGAGCTACATATGTAAGCACGAACGAGTCTCTTCAAGCGTGCTGCTCAATCGAAGAAGAAGATTTGAACTGGAAACTTGTCTCCGGGTCCAATGCATCGAGCGAAGAACCTTAACGCACATAGGAAGAGTTGTTGTCTTGATACAGGCAGGAAAGGAAGCTTGCTCAAAAACCCTCTTTCGCCCTTCTGCTCTTCCGCTTTAGTTCTGCTGCAATGATCAGCATCTGATCGGCAGTACATGCCAGTACATCTCTACGTTCCTACTTTTCTGAGAACGCCTGGCAACAAGTAGCTTTGTGAGGATGGACCGTTCTTAACGGGGACGGGCAACTACTCTGCAGGTGGTTCACGCTTATACCAACGGCGAAATCCCAGACGGCATACGCTTTGGCGCGTCTGGCAACTTATACGTCGCCCTCGCTCTGACTCCCTCAGCGGCTCCCTCCGACGTCCTCGGCGGCATCGATGTTCTGTCGCCTGATGGTTTCCCTCTAACCCGGCTCTTAACCAGCAACGGACAGGGGCCGAACTATTTAAACCCGGCCAATATTGCCTTCGACGACAAACGGAAGTCAGTGCTGGTTACGAATCACTATCTCGCTTGCAATGCGAGCAGCCCCGCTCAAATCGACAGCTGCAACTTCAACGTGATCAGGGTTTACGTCGGGGACAAGGGTGTCGATCAGAATTAGGCGCCGCGAAGATGACTAGGGCCAACAGGTCATCACTTGATTTTGAATGACTCCAGTCTCTTGAGGTTTCTAAGGATAAAAAGACGTCCCGGCTCGGAAGAAGGTAGGAACTTGGTTTCAACAAGCGTGGAGTCTTCAAACCGGTCCGTTTGTACGTCTAAAAGGTTTCAGCTGGTGGCGTTGTGTTGGTATGGCTAGCGTGTGCTGATGGCTAGGCTAGCGTGTGCTTTCGACTCTACATGACCGTACAGCTGTAGCTTTCATAAGGAACATCTAGTTTTACACTGGCACGTACGTAGGGCAGCGCGTGCATGGCTGGCCTCGCCTTTTGCGGAGTGTTGACTTTGTAGGTCTTTCGAGAGTTTGGATAAAAGGTACACCTATCTACAGACTTTGCTAGTATTGAAATAAGTGGAGGTGAGCGGGCGAGCTACAAGCTGTCGTTTAGCATGCAGTAGCTGAATGAGGAAATGTAGTGTACTATAATGCCCGGTGTTCACTAAGTGTTGCTGTTTTTGGTAGATGATGTAGTATAGCACCAGTCAACTTAGGAACTTTGCTAGCTCGGAATCGATTCAAAGTTCCTCGAAGTTCGAATTGTAATCACATGCCACCGACGCCATGCATGCGCGCTTGCAGTGCTGCGGCTGATCCATCCTCTCAGTTCGGCGTGCGTGTTCAGGTTCGCTGGATATTGATATTCCCAGTGTAGACCGCGTGCATGATTTACTTCCTAGCCGGCCCGTACAAGCGAACACTTCGCATGCAGTCAATGCAGCTATCATGGGCATCATTGCGAGCCATGACCGCGTCGCCCCGGGTGCAATTGCTCGTACAGTGCATAAAAGAGATAGGTAGGTTACAGCGATCCATGCTGACAGCTTTCAGAATGCAACTCGGGCCTTGCGCGGGTCCAGCAACGATCGACTTGCTGGCCAATGACAAATTGCATGCATGCGCCGTGCGCCGATCGAGTATGAATAATTGAGTTTAGGCCTGTATCAAGTTGTCCATCATGTATACATCCGATAAAAGTTTACAGCTTCTTTGATTGGTGGCCGCGCAACTGAGTACGACGACCGACATGTAAATTTGAACAGACGATTCGCAATCAACACACGAGTGCAGCGCAACAAATTGCCGCTCCGATGTACGCTCAGAAACTGCAGTTCACAAACAGGATTCGTGGTTGACACTTGTCCCAAGAGACCTTCGCTAAGGTCCCCGAAACCCTGCTCGCAGCCGGGTTCACACCTTCCCCCGCTTCCTCATCGACCTCCGCGCAACGATCATGGGCGTGTCAGGCGCCCCAACACCGTTCCGGTCCGTTACCAACGTTTCCGTTTCTTCCACCGTAAGCACCTCGCTAACGGCTTCACTCAGCCCCGCTTCTGAAACCGTCTCAACCTCCACCGCAACCCGTTTTCTCGTCGTGGTCTTTTTCGGAGCCCTCTTCTTGGGCACCTTTTTTGTCTTTCCGTCGTCCTTGTTGGACATATTCCGTCCAGTGATGTTCGCGTAATCGTCCGGCGACATTCGGCTCAGCGGTCCGAACAGCGCCTCGTACTCTTGCCAAATCTCGAACCTGCACCATGCAAATCAATGTGCCGCAAAAGTCAGTGTTTGAAAGGGATGGCCTTCGCCTCGCTTCTATATCAAAAACGAAAAACCATTGAAGGTACTTGACAGTAAGCGGGAATATGGGGCCCTCGCACGAGATCTGCCCAATGTCGACTCTAGCATTGCTGCTTATTTGGAGGCACGGAGAACAAGGCGGCTTTGGCAAGCTCGACTTTAATACTGATAATATCCTGAAGTTTTGCGATTTGTGCAAACGCCTGAAAGCTACGGGGCTGGTTGTGAAAAGCCTTGAAAATAAAAACAAGCTGAAGCTTCTGTAGCCCTCTTTCGTTGATGTTTGTGGGAGGCACTTCCAAGTGGTTACGGAGAAAACCCCGGCATTCGTGTCTCGGTAGTCACGCAAACGTTCGCATTGACGAGCTCGAGGTCTAATGCTTGGCAGCCTTTCTTCTGGTCACTTACCAGTACGCCAGAAACTGGTAGGGAGCGTAAGGAAGGTAAACTTTGGCGACGATCTCCTCAAGGTTGCTTGCGTCACAGTCGTCCTTTCGGTGGACCTGTATACGCGGAAACACGGCAAGTGCGTGAGACGGAGTGGTGGAAGTCTCCGTTAAAGGCGCACCTAAGCCGTTAATCAAGGTTTCAACTATAGAAACGACCGCGACCCCATTGCTACAAAGATGAACACGACGGCAGCTTAATTAGTGAGACGCACTAGATCCAAACCGAGACGTGACAAGGTGTCTTTTTTCCTACAGATATATGCAGAGGCGTCCAAATGGAGACAACAGCAGATTGCACAGCAAAGATATCGCTTTACAGACTCGAAGTCGAACCCAACCTTTACTCTGCCCTGATGTTGTGCCTGCAATGCTTGTAAACGACGAGTCATAAGATTCACAGCGGTGCGAGCAGCTGGATCGAAATGGAATTTCTGAAATGAGCCTACCTCCCGCAGATGCCGCGCCGTCTCCGAGTCCGCCGCCACTTTCTCAAACTCCCCCAAGCACTGCATCACGTTCGCCGCCGAGAAGGGCCCCAACCCGGGCATCTTTCGAACGGCCGCCAGCCGCTCGGCCGCCGATCCGAAACGCCCGGGGCCTTCCAACCGACCCAGGTCGTAGACCCCGGTTGCCACCCCCTTGGCGAAGCTAACCAGGCGGGTTGCGCGGTAACCTAACCCGCACTTCTTGGAGAGGGCCTTGGGGTCAAAGTCTTGGAGCTCGGCGGCGGTGGGGAAGTTGCCGAGGTGGGAGAGTTCAGGGGGGCAGCCGAGGGGGGGGCCGTTCTTTTCTGCCTGTTGCAGGGAGAGGATAGGGCATAAAGGTAAGCCCGATTGCATTCTCGAACCAGTGCTGAAATATTCTAGCTAATCAACTTTGGATACACAAGATGGGAATCAGAGTGAGGTTCCGGGAACGTTTTCGAGAACGAATCAGGCACAAAGATTGGGTGGAAGGATGTCATCCCAGAAGAGGGTCGTCGAATTTTGATACCTGTGGAGGCTTGCCCAACGCTCTTTAACAGAAAGAAGATGAATCCAAGTCAGGGAATGGTTAGATAGCTACTAGTACGGAAGAGGGTCGCAGATAGATCCTTCTTTTTTCTACTTTTAGCCACCTCGCTCACTAAAAACAGTGCGTAGAGAAGTTGCATAGGAAGTGAAGAATGAACGGAAGGCGTCGGTAACCGAACTTCGGACTAAAATCTGGCGAGCGGCTGATGACGAGGTAAAGGTGCCCCTTCCACTGAACAGTGACCTTTACGCCCGCCTTGAACCAATTTCTGAGATGGTCCGACAGGAGTGGCGGCGCCAAAAGGCGTCGAAAGCGAGATTGCTACCAAACTGCAAAGAAGCGGGTTGGAAGCTGGTTACAATATGGGTTAGGAAATGGTTAGGAGCTGGAGCTTGCCTGCAGCTGGCACAGTGCCCGGTTCATGCTGAGCGTGCGGCCCCAGCCGCAGTTGCACAACAGCTGCGTTTTGACCATGTCCTGCAATGGAAGAACCACGGGTCAAGGGCTCAATAAAGCGCGGCTCCCGACCCACACAAACCTCAAAAGTGTTGAGTATCCACCAGATTTGAAGACTGTTTAATCGAAGGCAACTCAACCGATTCCTGTGGCAGACAGGCCACACTCCAGAATTGAGAGACTGTGATCGCCCTTCTGACGTGTTTCGGATGAGTGAATCAACGAAGAGGGATGTCGTATCCGCAAGCCCTTCACACGGATTGGTATGCCAAAAACAAGCCTGCTAAGGACTCCAGCATCAAGGACACCCTTTTCAAGCTGTATTACTCTACTCTTAGGGCCGTTTCATTAAAGTGCGGTCAGCGAAGCGGCTTCACAAAGAAGCCAGATGTTTTAAAGGCGAGATACCTTGAGTTCTCCACAATAAAATCTCCACGCACACTTCTTGTTGTGTTGAAGCAACATGAAGACTATCATACCTCCCACAAAGTCGGCGACCGAAACAGCCTTCCAAAGCCCGCTGCTTTGGCACCCGGATGCATGTTCTGAAAGGCTGCCACTGCGGCGGAGTCCTCAGGTAGCAGCCGCAGCATGCGCCGCACTTGGGCCTGATGCACAGCACAAGATCTTCAAGAACCATACCAAAGTCTGGTCGGAGTATGAGGTTCAAATTATGAACTTCTTGTGAGTAAAGAAGAAGGGTTTGGAGAACGGTGCATCGGGGCGTTGTAAGGTGTGCGGTCGCCTGCACAGCCTGAATGTCTGCATGAAGGGGTCAAGGATCATGACTAAAAGACCACTGCAACAGTATGTCCAAGTGATTTGATGAGAGGTAGGCTTTTAGAACCATCGGACCCATAACATCAACCCAAGGATCCTTTTACTGTCATCTTGAGTTTGGTTGCAAAGATCCGGATTAGACTTGCTGAGTTTTTTCCTTACTATCCATATCAAAGAGATCGTTTTAATCACAGTCAAAGAAGGCTACAGCACCAGAAGAATATAGAAGTGACATCAAGACAACCATCGAAACCCTCATCACAGCAGGAACCCGGACTCATGCCATTCCTAAGATTGTCGACTGTGCCACTCATTGTAGAACAATCTCCTCGCTTTCATAGGACAACCCAGACAAGTAAGCGCAAGGATGTTTCCTACCTGAATCACGTCTTTGTCCCCTTTCCCCATATCCCCCACTCCCACTTCTACTGACAGTACTCCAGGCTCATTGACTTTCATTGGGCCTATTCGCACCCACACGGCCCGCCCGTCCGCCAGCCTCAGCGGCCTCTCCAGACAGCCGCTCTCCTGCCCTGGTGGGAATAGCCACCTGTTCGGAGCAGCCATGAAGAAGCCATAGCTGACCACTGCCTTCTCTAGGTCAAAGTCTAGGGGCACAGACAATGTCAAGAGTGTATATATTTGTTCTCTTTCAGCTATAGGAGCTGATTCTTCTTGAGAGTTTGGAGTAACTGGAGGTTCAGCCAGGTTTGACGCCGGCCGAGTTGGTTGTGGGCTACTTAGTATTGGAGTGGTGTTTAGGTCAGATTGGGGAGTGATTCCCAAATTGGAGGGTTCCATTTCAGCCCCAATCAAGATTGCTGCTGTCTTTGAAGTATCTATGGCACTACAAACTTTCCGGTGCTGACTCAGGACCTTGCCCCCAATTCTGGGAAAAGGGAGTTGGCTTTGATTGATGTGAAAATGAATAACTTTTGAATGGACAATGTTTAAGCCCGGAAGCTGTCTAAGCAAAGTACCACCGGTCCTCAGGTGGCGCACCGCTTTCCGCTCATGGCATGTGAATCTTTCGCAGCGCCGGCTATCCACAGAGAAGACCGCGCCTCCCCTGAAAGAGGGAGCAAGGCATGAAGCAAAGGAGCAGCAAAAGGAGCGCCTGGCAACTTGCACAGCCTTGTGCATCATCCAACATTTACCTAACAGCCTCCTGCTTGCTCCCGCCCTAGCTCAGGCGTCATAGGTTTGCATGCGCCGTGCAATCAAATTAGGGTTTTGAAAAGCTGCTCAAGGACCTCGAACGTTATGTAACGCTCCATGTGAGTGCCAATGCGTGCTGCTGTCTTTATCTGCGTGAGGTTGACACAGCCAATCGTTGCTACACACAGATGCTAAACTCATGCGTGGGGTGTCCCCTAGCTTGGCCCACGGCTCCTTCATCTGAGACTGAGGCTTCAAGTTTAGAAATTGCTTGAAGTTGAAGCCAGAACTTGGCATCTGTTCGATCAATATCTTGACAGGAAGTAAGTGCAACACTGCAAGTTCAACTCGAAGGCGGACCTGAAGGCGTCATGGGGAACGAGCAGCTTCCATCTGAGGCACCAATTTCCATGGAGGAGGAGATTGCTGTTGGTGGCGAGCCGAAGCAGGGTCCTCAGACTAACGCCGTCGCGAAGCTGCTTTGTGAGGTGATGGCGGTTCAGGCGGAGCGTGTGAAGACATACGGCGAGTTTGAGCAGTGAGGACATGACGATGCTCAACCAACACTTCGAGCAAATAGCGAGCGTCTTGAAGACTTTCTGAATCCAGCTATTAGGCTGTCTGAGCTGCAGCGGTCAAACTCTTTCTGGCTCTGATGTATCGTTGATTGCTTTCAGAAATAACAGACCTCTTCATTGTTTTTGATTTATAGATATAACAAGGAAAAAGCACTTGTTTACTTTGTTTTTTTTGTTTGAGATTTTTTAACAAAACGATGGATGATCTCTAATAAAAACAAAATTTAATGAGACTTTTTTGAATTAGATGCTAGCTGCGATCTGAAGAAGCAATCGAAATGCTGCTGCCTCAAGAGCCTTCGCTGCACTGAAGGGACTATGAACTTGTGAACCTCCTTCTGAAAAGCACGCTTCGCTGGCCCAGATTGAATGCCACCATCAGGATCAGCAGTTCTAAAAAGATTCTGAAATTCAGGTGTCCTGTCGTCTCATTCTTGCAGGGGCTTTGCCACCTATCGCACGTCTGACGATGAGCAATCTTACGTCGCACTGTGTCAGCATGTGACCCAGAAATTCAAAGACTGCTCACAGCAGGTAATGCCGGCATCACCACGAACCTCTCAATTTTACAACTTTGTTGTCTACATCACCCATAAGCATCAGCAAGGTCTCCCAAGATGATTTCAAAACAAATCCTTGAGCAGCACCTGGTTTGTCAGGCATCGCGGTGCAATCTCTGTTGCGTATCGTCTGGAGACTGTTTGAAGCCAATACCTCAATCAATCCTGGTGGTTGCGCATATTTGTTGCAGAGGGTAAACATGAATCTGTTGAGAGCCAGATACTCACTTTACCTGAAAGGATCAATGTATTTGGTGGCTCGAGTTTCTGGCAATAAGGGTTTTTTTCCAACTGGGGCCTGACAACCAATCAGCACGGTGCTCAGGCCTTGCGATAGGGTGGTTTTGGCATACTTGGCAACAGATCTCTTGGCTTACTCTGCTGATGTATGGTCTGGACCTTAAGCGTCCTCCTGTTGCCTCTCCAGATCATCCAGATTGAGGCCGCACTGAAAGAAGCAGACGTGAACAGGGCGGACCTTGCTGAAACCCTCCGTGCACTCCAGTCTCAAGAGAAGAAGAAGCTGCACATGGTAGGAAATTCCCTCCAGTCTATTCGCCTGTTTCTTCTACTTTGCCCTATGTGTTTGACCATCTCCTAGTGTACCAGATAGTTGGTTCTTTCCTGTTTGCCTCATTTTATGGTGGCTTCTCATGGCTGCCAGGGCTTGATCTGGGGGCTGATAAAACGCCAGGGATTTTCGAGGCATGCTGCATGCTGTACCCGTCGGTTGAACAGTATCGTCTTCCAACTTTAGGGCACCTTGTAATGCAGTTTGAGGTGCAATATTATATCGGAAGTGTGCCCAGGTGGCCCTGTAGGATGAAATTCTGAGTTTCTGGATTTCTGGAAAACAGATCTTTATTCGTTGAGACAGCCATTTTGAAGACTTTTTCATGTCCAATTCGCAGACTCTTTCAGGTCCGATGTTCAGACCTGGCTCTCTATCAATCTCAAAGGGAAAATCCAAGAACATTTCTTCTGCGTCGCTTGAAAGCGTAGCTATCCGAAGTGACACCTCAAGTGGCGTTTACTCATTATTCGTCACATCCGTATGGCAAGGCTGTAAAACTGGGTTGGCGATTGGACATTGAGCTGACCCGTTGAATGTTCGTTCGCATGCTGCGCGTTTCTTGCTTTGCAGAATCTGTATGTATAGGCCGGTCGGCAAGTTTTTTTCTTTTGCATGTAAAGCAGCTGGATCTGGAGCAGGTCTGACTGATTGTGTATGTCTACAGAGAATAAACGATTCTCGTGTGCCATTTGCGGTTCGTTTGCACACCTCTGATAGCCAGCTCATAACCACCTTTTCGATCAGTACCTCGTGCTCAAATAGAGGACGTTTCTTTTTGTCCTCTTTCAAAACACACACCACGCTTGCACTAGGAAGCATACTCCCACCTAATCCATTTCCGTCACTTGCAGAGGACTTAGGAGAACAGTCCAAGTCCCTCAACGTCAGTCGAACATTCCATCCGCTTCTTCTCCTCCTTTCTCCACAGACCGCCGTTTTGCAAGTCCTGAAGAAGGCCGGGCGCCCCTCAGAGCGGTCGAGCGAGCTCCGGGAGCAGTTGCGGCGGCAGCAAGGCCACCAGTGCCTTTCAGAAGCCGCGCTCAATGGGGCAGCTGCGCAGTCAGGCGGCCTGACGGAATCTCAAGAAGAAGCGGAGTACGAAGCCGCCGTGGGGGAGGCGACGCAGGGGGTGCAGGATGCGGTGACGGAAATAAACGAGAAGCTGGAGGAAATCAGGTATGAGCTTGCGGATTTAGAAGAGCCTGCGGAAGCGGATGGTTTAGAAAAGCCTGCAGAAAGGGGGGCGGTTGCGGGGGACGGCTTGCAGGCGGAAGGAGAGGGCTTGCAACCGAGCATAGGTCAATGACAGGAGGTGGACAAAGTATTCTCGTGCGCTCTTGCACATGTAAGTCGGTCGAGACCAACAAATGTACGAGCAGCCTCGCACAGGACCGGCAGAGAAGAGTCGTATTGAAGATGCAAGCCAGAACAAAAGTGCATGTTAGAATCGACATCGCCTAGGAAGACTGCAGTGACTAGTCTCGACAATGCTCTATCAAGTGTCTGTGACTTCTGGAATGACCATGGCATATACTTGTGTCATAGTGACGGCATAAACTGGCATGTCCGACTATATTCGTTTAATGCAGATTGCAAACAACCTGCCCGTGAGCTGGCCGGATTCGATGTAGCCCAACATGCATCTATGCCGCGCCATGGTGCCGACAGAAATTGCATCCATATGGCCTGCAGTACAGCCATATATATGCAGACCTCGCTTGACCATGGAGTATGCGCTCCATCAAACTTTCACGCGTAAAGCCCGCGGTCGCCCAGCGAATTGTCCCTAATGATCTGTGGCAGCATACCTACTAATTCTGAATCAAACGCACGTGAATGCCTGTGCACATCACAATCACAAGTGTGCACTTACCCAGCCTACCGGGTCTTAACGAAACTCTCATCGCGGTAGTATACAGCGCTCTTAGCTAGCGTGTTGACTATGCACATGTGCTCCCACTCTTCATTCGGCTGGCTAGTGCCCCAGCTAGCTTGCCAACTTTTCTCGAGTTTCAATCAATTTTCAGTAAGCATATTGCATGATCCAAAAGATCGAGTTTGATTCCAGACAAGCAGTTGCTCGATATCCCGCATGCAAGAAGGATTCGGCTACTTATGGTGGTCAGCATAAAAGCGACAAACCGTCTATATTCTGTTTACATCAGATTTCATCCTCCTTTTCCATACTTCCATTCGTCTTCTCTGGTGAGGATTCTGTCAGGCCTGGCATACCTTCAGCTACCAAGCTTGATGTGTTGCATCAAAGCTAACGTGTTATCCAAGGCCTCTCTGAAGCACATCTCTAGTTCGCAAGGGATGTCTTTCTCGAACCCCAGACGTTCTCGCTTGTTCTTCCCAGAGCTGCCCTTGGTTCCATCTGGCACTCCCTGCTCCTCGGGAATGGTCAAAGCAAACTTTGCACTTGTCTGTGGCACGTGTGTGAAAAAGATCCAGGGCTCCTGGAAGGTGTTGATGAGCGGTGCGCTGAAGATCAACTCCTCCATTCCTGCAGCCTTGGGAGAAGCATATGCACGATGGAAAACCCCCCGCCAGAACGCGGCTCCTGCTCGCGACAGACGAGCATTTTCCTTGACCCTGCGGCTTGTCAGATTTGCATGCACTTCAAGAGATAGTAGGCCACCAGCCTGGCTGCGTTGTTCAGAACACCAGATGCTTCGGATGGCGTGATTGATCCTGTCTACTGAATACAGTGGGTGCAAAATGGAGGTCTCAGCCAAGGGCCGCCAACCGACTGCGTTGCCCAGATAAGAGCCTCCCACAGGTGCTTCATATCCCCACGCGAGAAGGCTCCCGCGCAGTCTGATCGCAAACAGAAAGCTGGCAGTATCAGTTTCGCTGCTGAGCTGACGAAGCGTGTCTTGCAGCATAAAATCCATTGCGCTTGGTCGACTGTTTTGCTTCACCCATCGAGCTTCCACAAGCTCTTTGAACCCAGCCGCCGGCTGCAGAACATTAAGGATATCCATCGCTCCAAGGCGTGCTTCCAGCTCAGCGCTCTGTTGTTCGAAGAGCAATCTCTCATCAGACGTCATCGTGTCTTCCCAAAGGTCTGGGCCATAGAAAGCCTTCTTCCAGATGTTGGGGTTCGCTTTGGCCAAGCCGTAGAGGGGCTTGACGGCGCAAATGACTCTCAGCAGGGAAGGGGGGTCCTGGACCGCGAGTTTGTTCAGAACCAGTAGAAGCGCGTCGTTTGGAAGGCCCTCCATGGTGATCTGCTGCTTGGAGAACTTGAGAGTACGTCTCAAAAGGACTTCTTGGGGAACTACGCGGACGGCCAGTGTGATATCGCGGCAGAAGGAGATCCGTTTCACAATTCAAGTTGAATTGTCTTTTGTTTGATCAACAGAATCATTCTTCTTCGAAGCGGCCCCTTTCGGTGAGGCGCCCGGCCGCGACCCCTACCCGCCCGGCCGCCACGTCAGCTGTCGGCCGTCCAACATGCACGTACGCTGCTAGCGGCGAGTGATCAGATGGAGCTTGCTTCATTTTCCACTCCCCGACTTCCGGACCGCTTCCACAAGACCAAGACTTTAAAGAGTTCGGACCTCTTCAAGGCCCACTATATTATTCTTATAGTGTCACAGATTTGAGGCCTACGAGCTGACTTTCAAGTTGATATCATGCAGATTAGATTCCATAAGGAGTTGAGAACTCTTACGGCCATGTCCGTTGAACGGGTCGCCTCGGTTTTGATAATGGTCACGGCGGGGTTTAGAGCGGAACGCCTTATTGTCGTAAACCCAATTTGCTTTAAGCCTTTGCACCGGGTGTGAGCTTCTCAATGATCCTTCCGCTTCTACTTGAGCATGAGGTCGTGAAGGAGAAGACGTACTGAGCTTTGGAGAAAGGCTTTTATTGGAGGGAACCAGCTTATATATGGGTGCAACGGAGGTCATCGGAGTAACTGATCACAGCCGTGGTCACGATGTAAGCCCTTAGGAACGTAGTCCGGGAATGTGCCCATGTAGATAATAGCCGCATTCATATGATTTTGGCAATGGTTCATTTCTCTCCAATCTCATCCCGGGGGTCGTAGTTGCCTGATACAAACATAAATGGAGACATACGCATCCTACTGAGTTCAGCCGATGCTCGATCAACACACTGCTTCGAGGCTTCATTCATCTCTAGCAAACTTTCTTCGGAAGAAGACCATTAAAATGGACAATAGACTTCGTAGACCAACTTCGATCAATTTTTCGTCATGTGTTGCACAACGAAAAAGCGTCACGGTGTTTCCTTAAGAAAAATAAAGAACCAGGATCAAGAATCTGCTTTGGAATCTCGTAACAAAGAGATCGGGCAGGCAGATGCCCCAACAACCGAATCTGAACTTTTTAGATTGAGTAAGCAATCACTTTGTAGCAATCGAAGGCCGGATGTTTTAGAACTCATATATAGGCCTTACAGATTCTCTTGACCATAGCTACGCGTAATAATACTTTGTTTTTACCCTCTACGCAGCAAAAGTGATCCGTTGATGTCATGTTGTTGAAATCTGCTTGATCCGATACACCTAATCAGGCCTGCACACCCTAGGCTAGCTCTCACTCGATGTCCTTCTCTATAAGCAATCCAGAGACCCGTCTCCGTCACCCGAAAAGCCCGCGAGAGCTCGTGCGACCGTCCGGCAAGGGCACAAAGTTTTCGACCAGGCTACCAGACTCACAGAACCAATTGGGACACAACTCGTGGCCAAAGTCTTAGCACGCTCACAGCACTCTGTCCGCCAAAGGGCAGGCCGTCTTTCTTCTTCGTTTGTGTGCTGCTTTCCTCTTGAGTTGCCGTACCGGGCTGCCCTTTTGCCTCAGTCAGAAGCAGACGCGCACAGACTCCTTCGTCAGCGAAAATTGGACGTGGCTGACCATAGCTAGTCGTGGAGATCCGAGCAGGGAAGCAAACTCGCTCAACGACGCCGGGTTGAGGCCTTGCATCTGCAGTCCGCTGAAAAGCTCCCTGCCAAAACCCCATGGCTTCTGTCGGCGGATCAGCGTATCCAAAGGCATCTAATTGACTGAGTGCGTGGATATCAAGACAAAGATCACCATATTCGGCCGTAGAAGTCGACCCTCCTCCCTGCCCAACGTTCAGTAATGCATCCTTTACTTTGTTTGCAACATATACGAAATGCGTCTGGATACTCCCCGACAAAGGCATCCCGGTTTTAAGGGACATTTCTTCCCGCAGCGCAAAACGTGACACTAGCCCGTAAGTACCCCACAGGAGCAGAGCGTCCTGTTTCCTGACCACAAAGAGAAACCACATTAAGTCATCACTTATATGAAGCCACCGGGGTACATTATGCTCAGACAGAGCTGGACGTTGCCACCGAGCTGCTACAAGCTCCTTGTAGCCAGCCGCCGGACGCTGCCGGTCTAGAAAAGGCCGGAAAAGGAGGTCAGCTTCCAGTTTTTTCCATCTGCTGTTCGTAGAACAAGCGCTCATCTCCGACACTGTCAGGGAAAAGCTCAGGCCCAAGAAAGGCCGTCTTCCAGAGGTTTGTATTATGCGCGAGTTTGCTGTACAGAATAATAGAGACGCAGCTGACGCGCAGCAGAGATAGAGGGTCCTGGACGGCGAGCTTGTTCAAAACCAGCGAAAGCACGTCTTCTGGAAGCTCCTGCATGATGGCCGCTGGATTAAAACGGCAGCTTGTTCAAGCAGGCCGCTCACAGGTCAAAAAGACATCAATATCTGCAGTACAGAGTGAGAAGAAACTTGATCGCTCATGCAGCCGTCTGGGGGTTGTGCGCGGGTCCGACCGGCCCGCGGCCGGCTTTGACAAACCCGCCAGGGTTTGAGAGGGTTTCCGATACTCGGTCGCACGCAGCTAGCCCGCCGCCAGCACGGCCGGCTGCATTGCAGCCGCGCGGCCGCGGGGCCACGCTCGGCGTAGCGCAACTACGGGTGCTACGCGCATCGATCCATCTCGTCAAAAGTATGCTGGCAAGCATTTTGCTGAACACTGGCTAATGCATGTCCGGATAGTACGTTACGAGTGACTAATATTGTAATATCATCGAACGTTGCAATGATGCGGGCAGCTCTAGTGTGTGCACGTCTACGGCGCTCATGACCTCGTGACTGCAACAATCGATGTAGCTTGGACCGAGCGTTCTCACGTGTGAATTCATGCATGTGAATCGTACTACAGTCACCGCCCGCATATGCTCAGGTCACGCGATCACCTGATGATTGTCGAGAAGAGCTGCATGCCCCTTCTTCTCACAGTGGATGCATTTGTCATCAGATGTCTTACGGTTATGGTTATGGTCACATTTCTCATGGTCCTGTCTCGATATCTGTACTACAACAGTGTCGATCTCTGGATGTGAGGCATAAGCATCAGACTTGCGTAACGGGTCATGCATGGCGGTTAGCTCTAAGAAACCGAGACGGTCCAAAGATCCCACATGCAAGATCGAGACCATAGAAGTTACGCAGAGTCGACCATTGCGATACAGTACACATGGCCGTTGCTGAAAGCTTGCTCTGATTCTTAACGCGTCTTGTCCGGATGCATGCACCAGAACCGTGGGAGAACCCCGAGAATCTTGTTAGAGCGGGACTCTTCTTTTCCAAGAGTGCAAAACTGTCATCTTCGACGCCCAACGTGTGGTGTCTTGATTTGCAGCCTTCCCGGCCTTTCGACAATAAGTTCTCGCTAAGAGACGGCTGGAACAACGTAAGGACAAGGTTATGAAACGTTCAACGGGTTCACGGTTCTCCTGCGACCCGTAAAACGTATCAAAGCTTGCTCCGCGTCCCTAGGGAAGTCGACTGCGCCCCACCGTCCCTTTGTATGCGTTGTTGGAGCAGAAGTCGGACGACGTTCTTCTGCACCTTCCCTGTGGAGGTCACAGGCAGCGGACCGGTCTGTGCGGCAAACACTTTTGGGACCTTGTACCTGCAGCGCAAGAGACAAGAGTAACTTGAATTGCAGGAAACAGGGCAGCTTTAGGAGCTGGCAGGACTTGTCAGCATATTGCGCTCAGATCGAAGAACAGGACATGTGCTGCAAGAGCTCCACGTGCGCTTTCCGGTCAGTATCCTGGAATGATTTGGCGTCATAAGATCTCCCAAGCAACTTTGAAGTAAGGGCCAATGACTTTTTTTAGAAGGCGCTACTTTCCGCCCCCATGCAGCCAGCTCGGTACGGAAACAAAATGGTCTCTCTTCGGGACTGCCTTCAGCTAACCAGAAAGATCGTAAGAACTTACGCGCGGACATGAATCGGCCGCTTCGTATTCAGCGGTTCCGACACCTCAGAGGCGGAGCGAAACTCGTCACACGAATTGAGTGGTGAAGAAAGAGACGACAGCCGCGAAACAAACGACACCAAGTGGGCTCTCCGACAATCCCTTGCGCCACACAACGAATCGAGCAGATCCTGTATTCGCCATACATTACGTTTGCCGCTTTTCCAGGCACTTCCTGTTTCCACTGATTTCTCCCTCACCGTGTGAGGCCCCGTTGGTGGCAGTGCCGCCGCATCTTCGCTGCATCCAAATGGTGAACCTGGCCGTCAACAGGGCCTCCCCAAGTCCAGCCGTCCATGAGAACTAGGAGCGCGGCCACTTGCTCGCCCAAGCGCGCGTCGGGTAAGCCCGCAACGGCGGCCGCGGCAACTCCGGGGTGCTGGATAAGAATCGTCTCCACCTATATACGTAACGACACATGAAAGGATAGCTGCATTTTTGCGTTGGTGTCCCGTTAACGTCTGGCTCTCTTCTGTCTTGAGGAGATAGTTATGCGAGTCAGACGGAGAATACCGATAAGCCTAATTCTTTTGTGTTCGATTATCAGGTAAGCAAAGCAGACAAGAGCAGCCGGGCTGGGTAAGGTTTCGCTGAACTAAAGTCCTGGGCTGGCAATCACGAAGCACGGACTATGATATTGAAAAGAAACAACCCTGGCAGCAATAATCAAGTCAGGAGACCGTGCCGTCCGATGACCAGAAGCTTGAAAGAGTCGAAAAACGAAAAGGAAACAAAGGTTGAAAAGCGGCGCCGAAAATGAAGGAGCAGACAGAGAAGAAAGCGGAAAAAGATAAAGAGCGAGAGAAGAGGAGGTGAAAGAAAAGCAACCGGTGGTACCTCGGCTGCGTGCACGTTTTCCCCGCCCGTCTTGACCATGTCCTTTTCCCTGCCGCACAGCCATAACCGGCCCCGGTTATCGATATAACCCACGTCCCCCGTGCTAAACCAGCCGTCTTTACTGAGCACGTTTGCGGTCTCCTCAGGCTGGTTCCAGTAACCCGAAAAGACGTTCGGCCCCCGGACCTGGATCACCCCTTCTCGAAAGGGGGGGTCGAAATGCGCCCCTTCTAAGCCCCCCATTCTGGAACCGAACTCCGTTGCTTGCAAAGGTGACTTCGGCTCCCGCTGGGGCAAAATCCCAGCGGTTGCGGTTGTCCGTTTCGTTGCTGCTCCGGAGAAATCGCTATCAGTGTTTCCTAATCCCGACTGCGAGCAACTCGGCGCTTCTTTCCTGATCTCGTTGGAATCGGCACCGTTTTCTAGCGGTTTCACCAACCCATTACCGGCGGTGATTACTCTGATTTCGAGGTGAGGGGCGGGCCTCCCGACACAGACAGCCCAACTTCCGCTGAACGTTGACGCTGCGTCATTAGGTCGGTCCGGCTCAACGGTAATCCATCGAGGGAGGGCGGGCTCTTGACGCTGGGGCTCACGAACAATATCGAACGTGATGGAGGAACATGCTTCTGTCATGCCTGCAGAGAACGAGATAACTTCCTGAGAAGCTGGCGTAAGGAAGAAAGCTCTCGCTGCGCTCTGTTCTCGAAGTGACGCGGACTCCGTACGGCATCGGCGATCAAAGGCGAATATTGTCGGACGAAAACGGCTTTGGTTCGAGAAGTCTTATTCCGTGCCTACATCCCAAAGTCCGAGGCCCTAGCAAGCATTCTGCACGAGACGTAGACAGAATGACGAAACAGAACCCTTTCCTCTAGCGACCTTTGAGGATCACCGTCACAGGTTCAAGACAAGCCTAGCATCAAGGTAAGCACTCAATGAGATTCAGACCTGAAGAAGGAACGCAACAGCACATAGTTGTGCCAACAGTGTAAGGCACGTGCTCTCACCATACGCAGTTGCAATGACCGCATTCGGGAAGAGGCGCGCCACGTCTGGCGCCATGCGCCCCAGTCCCCCTCCCCCCACAAGAAGCGTCCGAATACCCCAAAACGGCGTCCGGATCCCTTCCCAATTCTCGCTGACGTCACCGACCGCCTGGATGATGTCAGCGAGCATGGCGGGGACGGCGATGAAGGTGGTCACGTGGTGCGCCTGGACGGCTGCGATCGCTTCGTCGACACGCCAGCGCGGCAGGAACACGTGGGTCGCCCCGGCCATGAGCATGCCGAGCGCGGAGCTGAGGCCGCCGATGTGACACAAAGGGGCCGCGTGGAGGTACACCTGCGGTGAAGGACGGCTTGGTGTCAAGAACGATCGCGAAGTGTCAAAGCGCAGTCGCTATGGGTCTTCGCCAGATCAAGAAGCGGGCGGCAGGTGTAACGGAGTCGTTGGTTGGCGATGCGAGTTCAATCTCAATCTTACAGCAAGATGAGTTCCTTGAACGTACGAGTTACGATCCCAGGCCGTCCGCCCGAACCGGAAGCGAGACTGCAGTAGGAGCCGAACTCCGGCACTTGCGAGACCTCGACTTCCTTTCTGCGCACACGTCTTCTCTGTGAAATAAACCAAGTACATCCCGAGGCCTCCGATCCAACGAAACAGAGTGTCCTTGACCCTGGAACATCTTGGTTCAATGTTAACGGCGTCTTTGACCGTTTTATCTAGCTAGGGGATTAATTTGAGAAAGTAGAGAAGGCTTCTCAAGAAAAGGGAGACGGGTGCTTACATCCCGGTCGGAGTACCCGACTCCAGCAATCTTGGCCAGGGACTGCGTTACCAGGGCCGTGTGGCTCAGCACCGCTGCCTTGGGAGCGCCGGTGGTCCCTGCCAATCACGAAGCAGAATGATATCGGCGAAAGAGAGTTTTTATATTGTTTGTTCGACACGGATTTTGAGAAGACACAACGCCCCACGTTTCAGTAACGCGGAGGTTGAAGGGTCCTACGGTTGAATGCCTCGAAGCAGGTCTGGCCCCCAAACTTGACTGTGGTAATCTCCGAGTCAAGAAACTTCCTCTATAGGAATGATTCAAACCAACGGGGCAAATTCCGGACAGAACTCAAAGGGCAAGGCCGGATGTTGCAAGTTCGACGTGGTCTGCTGGGAAGCTGCGCTGTCAAGATTGTTTAAGGAAAGCCACCGAAAGCAACCGGAGGAAAACGGCTCCTCCAATAATTTGTGCCAGAGACGTCTTCGTTCCAAATGCATATGGCTGCGGATCTGCCAAAGAATGGCCTGAAAGTGAACGAAGCTAGTGCAGACCGGTTCGAAGCACTGCAATAATATCAGAGCAAGATCACGTTCACTTTGCTTACACAGATCACGCAAATGGGCGGAAGAAACAACGACAAGAAGGGCAACGACGCACCAGAAGTGAAGCAGATGAGAGCGACTTCTCCTGGCGCCGTCACCAAGTTTAACTCCGGGACGTTGAACCCCATGCGTTCACGATCCACGGAACTGTCCCTTGCACTTTGCCTCTCCTGGCTGAGATGTGACTCGAGCACCGTATCCCGTGAAATGTTCGGCGGAGAAAGCGTTTGGACTCCTCGGCAATCCATTGCAACAACTTCACAATCCTTTCGAACACTTTCAAATTCGATCCGTGCACTTCTAAGCTCCGTGCTGAATGTTTCCCGTTCCAATCGGACAGCCTTCCCCTCCGTTCGGACACCCCTGTAATCCGTCCGGACACCTTCGGGATTCGTTCGGACGCCTTGGGAGTCCGGTTGAAAGTCCTGGAAACCCGTTCGGAAGCTGGGAGTCTCCATTCGAACAGCGGCTCTCACGGACGGGCACCGTTCCCTCAGGTGCTCCCACCAGCCCCAACAGAATTCGTCGAGCACAAGCAGGCTGGCCTCAATCCTGTTGATGGCTTCGGCGGCCTCGCTTATGCTCTGCCAGGAGAAGAGATTTGCTGTCAGCGCGAAAAGCGTAATCACTCTTTCGTCTGATAGACCTCAGATTTGCTTTCCTAGGAGTACGACAATGTATTTTCTGGCCACTGGTGGCGGGCAAAATCTGGCACTTCACATACGAACGTTACATACTAACACCAACGAAGAGCGGATATGGCAACAATGAACCACGTTTCTCAAGAAGAGATTGGACTTAGTAGAATTACTATGAAGCACAGAGGGTCTTTGATTGGAATCCTCACCCATCTGTGGTTCAGTGGTGCAACAATTGCCCCTGCGCACGGGACTGCCAGCAGCCACTCCAGGTAATAGTCACTGTTCAACCCCGCCAGAGCCACTCTGTCGCCAGCAGCCACCCCGGAGCTGCTGAGGTCAGCGCTGAGCTCAGCAATCCTGCCGAACAACTGGCGCCCGGTGCGCTTTCTGTCGCCATGGATCGTGACCACAGACGTCCCCCGCCTCTGCGAAAGGGCACCCAGGCAGTGGCCGATGTGCGCGCCTCCCATCGCTGGTGGGAACAGGAGCGATGACCTCAGCATGGGTCGTCCGCAAGGAATGATAACATCATCATGGGGAGTTTTAGATGCCTACTGTATAGCGCTGAAGCGGGTACAGAGGTCTGAGCATCGGACGGAGGAAAACTGCAAATCGGGTGCAGATGTGCGTTGATCAGGCTCGGACAACGTCTGTTGAGTAAGACATCAGAAAGGAATCTCCGAATGACAGAAGGTTTGAGATTGAGGGTAGTGATCCGTCTATCACATCTGCAGTGCTAGATGAGGGAAGAATGGTAGTATCTAGAGCTTGACAAAATGAAGTGGTGTAGTGCCACCATCAGTATGACTCATAAGAAGTGGCACGCCGCCGGAATAACAACCTTTTACTGGGGTCGACGTGAGAATCTGTCTCACCTGGACCCTGTTGTTCGAAGCACGCATTTGTTGAGTAGAAATCACTCTTTCCTGGACTTCCGCTTCCAGTAATACGGCGTCATTTCCTGCCTTTCCTCAATGCTGCCACTTGCAATTGAATCTTCTACTGGGTCCCACTTCCTCCATGTTGCATCCTTCTTGTCCTGAGAACAAGGCTTTCTCACAGACGACAAATTTGAAGGACAGCATGCCCCTATCCTTTCGAAGTTGCGCTGCGCCTCCTGCAATGAGACCGTGTTTGCCCCGACGCGATCAGTGGCATTTGTCAGCTGGTACAAGTCGTCCTCCCAGAAGCAAATGGGACAGATTTCAAAGGTGCCACCTGCACCAGAGAAGACCTCGTATCCGCAGCAAGGGCAGGGATGCAGCCGCTGCATTTCTGAAATTTAATGAACTTTAAGATTACCTAGGTAGCGAAGCCAACCACAGCTAGCTGGACCTTCGCGCGCAAAACCATCACAGCATCTTTCACTGACGTCACAAGATCAGACAAGCACCCGGGTGACAGGTGGGGTTAGCTGGGGGGTTTGAATGGACCAAGGCGCGCGGGCAGAGCGCTTCGTGTTTTCGGTTGGAGTTTTTAGTATACTTAGGTACCCGGGGCTCTTAGTCCTGCCATGTCTAGGCCGTCGGATCACCGGTATCTACTTTATCATTCTTATTGGCCGTTGAATGTTAAAATCTACGAAAAGTGCTTGATGTGAGCCGTCCGATGTAGAGCTGGCCTGAGCCCGCAGCGAGTCTCCACAGTGCTGATCCGGTTTGCAGTGTGCAGACTTCAGGACTCGGGAGCAGTGTGCAGTGTGCAGCGTGCGCACAGTCACTTGCAGTGATCGAGCTTTGGGCCAACTTCAAGTTCGAGTTCATTCCAAGTTGCAGAAAGATCAAGAAATTGCCACTGCCGCAGCCCCTCTTTGTTATTGGCTGCGCTGAGGAAGCTATTTGCAATGGCGAAAAAGGCGAAGGCAGCTCCGGTAGGTCAACGGTTCCTCCCTTCTTTGTGGTGCTGCTTGGTTGTTTCATCTTTTTTTAAAGATTCGCCACTGCTTAGTTTGTGGGGCTGTGTAAGCCCTTTTTTAAAATTAAAGGACACAACGCTGTGCAAGAGTGAGTTGCAATTGTTGGGATTAGTCTTCATCTTTTTCTTTTGGTGTAGAATCTTTGTGAAAAGAAGTGGTAATGGCGGCGCTTCTTCTATTTGTGGCCAACTTTTGCACCACCCATCCATCGGCTTCTTAAAGAAGATTTCAATGTATCGAGGCAATGCACATTCCCATGTCGCCCTGATCTTTCTTTGTCGGTTCAGATTTACACCGCAAGTGACAAGCTGTAAATAATCCACATTAATGATTGTGATGGTGGTGCAGTATGTACTCACACTAATGCATGGTAATTCTTCATATTTGTTGTGCTTCTCAGTTGACTGCTTCTCAGAAATCCGGTAATGGTGGTTGCCCCGCCAGCATTGGTCCCTTGCTGCAGGATGGTTCAAGTGGTTTTGCTGAGGGCTTCAATGTGATTGCCTGCTTGTTGACGATATTATTGAAGCATGCAAGCACCCCCCAGCTGGAACATATATGTCACATCAATTCCAACGGCTCATTATGTGTCTTGCAGGCTGCGGTTGCGGTGGCTGCGCCTCCCAAGAAGGGCAACAAGCGGCCGGCAGAGGAAGCCAGTAACGGCAAGGCGGCCAAGAAGAAGAAAGCCGAGAAGGCGCCCCCGGTGCCCCCTCCTTCATCAGAGGAAGAAGACTCCGATGAAGAGGTGCGCTGCATTACCAGCATATTCCTGAGGAACTGCCGCAACAAATTCTGATCGGTTTCCCTCACATGACGAGCTTTGTGTCGTAGTCAAAGTGATCCATTCTGTCGCCTGTGCATTACCTGTTGAGATGCATAGGTAATAATGTACGGTGTTTTGTCTCCTCTTCCTCCTGTGTCTGGCTTTGTAGGTGCAGATGCTACTCATTGTTGGTAGATTGCATTTCGTGGCTGTTGGCCTTTTTTGAGGCCAATGATTGTGGATGACCACTTCGGCCTTTTCCATCAGGAGCCTATTTTGCGGGCTGGGACTAGTACTGCGCTCTTGGAACATTGTCTCTGGTAATGGTTCAGCCGTTAGGGTTCTCTTGGTAATGCTTTCATCCTGTCTCGCTCCCCAAGTCCCACTTCCGTCACACCAAGCTTTTCATAGGGCAAGAGAAGGGGCGGTTTAGGGTTTTGATGGTAATGGTTGTAAACTAGGGTTCTGTATCAAAGTCAGGGGCAATGCTGATTTCCGATCCTCTCGTTGTCAGGAGGAGGTTGTGCCTGTGAAGAAGGCTCCCGCGGCCAAGGCCAAGGCTCCTGCCAAGAAGGAAGAGAGCAGTGACGAGGACGATGAGTCTGAAGAGGAGGAGCCAAAGAAGGTATCTTACCAAACCTTTAGAAAGGTTATGAAACACATTTGCATGCACCTCCCTCTGATTTCGTGCACCCTTTGTGCATCGCAGTGTGCTATTTGTCACGAGCGCAAAAGTTTCGTTACTGATTCTAGTGGTGTACCACTCTGTTAATGTACAACCATTGAAAATAGGGCAGTTGCAAGGGCCTAGGAAAGGTGGTCAAGTTGTTGAAACTTCTAGGGGTCCCATGGAATTGGTGGTTGACATTATTTGCTTTCAATAGTTCCTTCCATATGAAGTTCTCTTGAGCAGACTTTGAAAGAATTCTTACAAATTCTTTTTGCAAAGCTCCGAAGCGTTTGTATTGCTCTGGACAAGGTCTTTTCTTGAGAAATTTAAAAGAATACACTGCACCACTTAATACAATAATCCACTTGTCTGATGCATTCCACCATCGAAGTCAAAACATGCAATTCAAAACGTGCAGTAGAAGGCAAAGAGGATTTTAGAATCTTTTGATTGCGTGCTTCTGACCGCTCCTTCCAACTCATCGCCTTTCTGTTTCTTCCAGCCTGCCGCTAAGGCTGCTGCCAAGCCTGCCGCCAAGCCGGCTGCTAAGGCTACCCCCATGGAAGTTGATGAGGACTCCGACGAAGACAGCGATGAAGACGAGGAAGAAGCTCCCAAGCCGGCCGCGAAGAAGCCGGTAGCAAAGAAGGTTGAAGAAGAGAGCGACGATGAGGACGATAGCGACGATGAAGAGGAGGAGGAGAAACCGGCGAAGGGAGCCCCTGCGAAAGCGGCGATTGCGAGGGCCGCTGCGAAGAAGGTAGAGGAGGACGAGGATGAGAGCGACGAGGAGAGTGACGAGAAGCCGAAGGCAGCGGCGGCGGCCGCGAAGAAGCCGGCGGCGAAGAAGGACGAGGAGAGCGATGAGGACGATGATGAGGACAGCGACGAGGAGGAGGAGGTGAGGTATCCTTGTGCGCGCTGGTGTAAATGTTCGCTTTCAATTGATCTGCATTTTATTAGCTGGAATAGGTGGGGGCGAAGCGATGAAAGGTGCCAGTAGAGAACTGAGATTCTTCTTTTCTCTGAACGGTGTTACTTTTTTGTAGTGATAAGATGGTGGTATAGCTCGGGTTTTTCTCTAGTTTCCTGCTGCTCGACAGTTCGGGAATGCTTTGCGATAGAAACAAGAAGTGCTCCTTCTTTCCAGTATCACGTTTGCTTATCACTGATTGAGGTGGTCAGGCCTGCAATTTCGTCTCTACTTCAGATCTAAGGGGCTGCAATGATGACACACTATCCGCGCTTCCGAGGCTCACGCCCCTGAAGATAAGGATTATTGGTTGAATTTCTTCGTCTGAGCAACGCCCCTTCGTTTGTGAAGAAGAGCAGTTTTTTATGGTATCCTTTTGACACACAGCTAACAAGGCTAGGCCCAAATGACTTTTGCAGCATTCTGTGGTCAGACATCTGCAGAGCTGCTCTGAAGGTGTTGAGATGGAGTTCTGATCAATCTTGTGGTTCATGCCCCAGTAATATCAGAAACGCGTCCCTATCAAATACGACGATAGTGCCGCTGCGAATGATTCTCATTCTCCTACTCAATTTGAAGTTCTCTTTGTCGCCAGGCACCCAAGAAGCCCGCCGCCAAGCCCGCAGCGAAAAAGGCTGCTGACAGTGATGATGACGAGGACGATGATGAGGATGATGATGACGAAGAGGAGGAGGAGAAGCCGAAGGCCAAAGCAACGCCGGCAAAGAAGGCTGACGAGGACGAGGAAGACGACGACGAGGACGATGAGGATGAGGACGAGGATGACGAGGATGAGGTGAGGGGCGGTCATATGGGAAGGTCCTCAGAGTCGTTAGTCAGATGGTGGAGAGATCGGTGCAGCACCCGCAAGATTGATTCTTGTTGACGATGCCCGGTGATTCTTTCTTTCCGTAAGGGGAGCTGTTCGACATTCGCAGTGAGTTAAGTGACCAGTGGGTTACTGGCTGTGCGAGGGCTAACTCAGTTGATAGCCTTTAAAAGCAGATTAAATAATTTACTGCTTTTAGGTGATGACGTGTCGCTTTTGACACCTTTTGGGCCACGGCCAGTCATGTCCCGAAGAGGCCATTGGAGAGGTCTTGAAAACCTGTTAGTGGCTGGAGGTAGATGAGTTGTCAGTTGGAGTTGGTTGGAGACAGACAAAATAGTGGGAGTCGAAGTGCTGAGATGCGCGCAGCTCCTCTTTCTGTGAGTGTTGTGACCACCATTAGACCTACATTACACTTAACCGTGGGCAAACTTCGTTGGATCACTGTGATCAGCACAGAAAGAGCATCTTTCACACGTATCTCTCAACCAGCCTACTCCAATCTGGACCAGAACCCTATCCTTCTTCCCAACAGGCGCCCAAGAAGAAGAGCTCCAATGGCAAAACTCCCGCTACGCCCAAGACCCCCGCCGCTGAGGAGGAGGAGGGCGGCAGCAGCACCATCTTTGTGAAGAACTTGGCATGGAAAGCGGACCAGGACGCGCTGTTCGAGTTCTTCGGGGACTGCGGCGAGGTGACGGACGTCCGGATCGCGCAGGGCGACGATGGCAGGTCCCGCGGGTTCGGGCACATCGAGTTCGGCTCGCCGGCGGCGGCTAAGAAGGTGCGTGAGCGTTGTGAAGAGATTGTGGTTTGCAGTAACCTGGAAAGTAGACGCTGGTCGTGCTTCTATGGCTTCTTTTTCTGAGGCAGGGGTTTCGTGTGTTTGGCAAGGGCTTGTCGGACAGGCGCCGTTCTTGCGGTCAAGAGGTGTGTCACATACTGGAGGGGTTCGGGATGGTTGCCGGCCTTCCTGGGCCGTCTCTGTGAGACAGGGAGTGGTTGCTTTGCCAGGATTCCGTATGGGAGGTCGCTTTCAACTTGAGCTGGAGCTTTGATGACACCAACGTTGGCATTCCTTGGGAAGGTTGTGCTGGTCGTGCAATGATGGCAGCCTGTGGCTGTCTGTGGCTGTCTACCAGGTTGTTCTTCTTTGTTGTGAGTGGCGGTCGGCGCGCAAGTAACACAAGCTGCGCTGCTCCTTGGAGGAGTTTTCAGCAGACCCCTGTTCCCTTCTGATTTCTGAGAAGAAGCTGACAGACCAACGTCCTGCTTACATCCCCTGTAAGCTTCTGCAAACGGACACATTTTTGGTTCGCTCCTAGAAGGCTCATAGGTTGTGGTGTTACTGCAGGCGCTGAAGAAGAGCGGGGAGGACCTGCTGGGGCGCGAGATCTTCGTTGACCTGGCGCAGGAGCGGGGGAACAAGACCTTCACGCCCAGAAGCGACAGGGGCAACTTCAGGTGAGCGCACGTACAGAAAGTTTCATCCCACACTCTTTGGGTAGTCGTGGAGGGGCGCACATATGGGCGCCCATAATGCGAGAAGGAAAGCACTCGATGAACGTATGAGCCACGCTAGAGCTAACAGCGAGCAGTAACCTCGTTAAAGAGATAACCAGTTTTTGTGCCAGCGTGCTTAGCCCCTTTCGGAAGTGTCGAACAAAATCTCGGAAGTGTCGAACAAAATCTAAACTCTGGATATTTTCTCTATCGTGTAGCGGCGGTAATGATGGCGGCGCTCGGACTCCTCGGGAGGGTCAGGACCGGACGGCCTTCGTCAAGAACTTCAACAAGTTTCAGGACGAGGACACGGTGAGTTGAAGAAATTGCGGCCTCAAGAGGAGTTGTGAAGCCGGGGGATGATTCAAAGGCCTGCCGCTCAGCAGATTGTTCAGTCTTCCGGCTCAGGTCTTGTTTGGAGGATTCCGTACTGGGCTCCCTGGTTTGTTCCTGTCTCCTTTTATTAACTTTACGGGCTTTAACGGCGGAGCCTGCAACTTCCGAGGCCTTTGTCCATATGCCAAACTTGTATGAAGACACGAAGCTCGGTTTGGAGCTAAAGGCCAAAGCGAAGATTTCGAAACAGCATTCCGATTTCAGTCCAGATTTTAGTCTGAACGAAAGCCGATTTCCGCCAGCAATTCCGACCATTATAGAGCGCTCCCAAATCTTCCCGTTTACCTGGCGGAGACCTGTCCGGACGATGTGCCTAGGTAGTTTTGGTACAACTTGAGTTCCGGCCAATAATTGGATCCGATTTGTCCCTCGCAGATCCGGAACCAGCTGACAGAGGCGTTTGGCGAGTGCGGTGAGGTCGTGAACGTGAGGATACCTACGGACAGGGAGACCGGCCAGATCAAGGGGTGAGCTTCAGAACAGGGTCTTAGGTCAAGGCGTTTGTGTAGTCTCGATAATCACATCTTGCTGCTTTCATATCGCAGTCGGCAGAGAAACCGCTGCGTTTCGAGCCTTCTCCTCGTGAAGCGTGGAAGATTGCCGTTGCGAGTCAGGCTGCTGCCTGAAAATAGAAAATTCTTAGTTTAGTTCTTACAACGTCTTCAAGCTTTGAAGACATCGGGGTCTGGAATGTTATGGTTTGTTTACGGCCTCAAGGCTCGTGCCATTACTTGACAGTTGGTTGTTGCTGTATTTGCTGGGAGTTAGAAGCTATCATCATGCCGCAAAAACGGGGCTGAATTACCAAAAAACCGTGTGCTTCTTGAGGACAACATCCCGACTTGCTGCTGACCTGTAAAAAAGGAACCGCTGACTGGTCTTCGTCGAACTGTTCATCCTTGTTCAAACCCTTCTGACCACCCCCTGATCACATATCTCTAGTTGCTCAGCTCGTTACTCAATTTTTTCTCCGTGTCCATTTCCAGTTTCGCCTTCGTCGAGTTCAGCAGCACCGACGCCCTCGCCAAGGCTGCCGACGTGAACGGCGCTGACGTCGGCGGGCGCAGCATCGTCGTTGACACCAACCCCAGTGGGGGCGGTGGCGGCGGCGGCGGTAGCGGTGGGTTCAGGGGGGGACGTGGTGGTGACAGAGGGGGTCGCGGTGGTTTCCGGGGGGGACGCGGAGACAGAGGCGGAAGGGGCGGCCGTGGGGGGGACAGGGGTCGCGGCAGGGGGGGAGGTCGCGGGGGCGGCAGGGGGTTCACCCCTAACAAGCCCAGAATCAACGTAGACGGCGGGGGCAGCGGTAAGAAGATTGCGTTTGACGATTAGGTTTGGTGAAGCGACGGAGAGGGGGTTTTGGGGCGGGGGGGTGCGGAAGATTTGTTGCGTGTTCTGATTTGAGCTTTCATTTTATAGTTCGCTTGTAGGGTCGTTCAAGTCATTTATAGTTCAGTCACCGCCCGGCTGGCGGGCGTCCATAATTAGAGCAGTGCCTGAGGCATGGTGCGTTATCCAGTTCAAGCGGTGGTCGGCGCTTGAAGAGAAAAATGGGTACGTATGGGGACGGGGTTCCCGTGAGCGGGGCGAAGGACCACTCCGGCAGCACTTTCGATATCTGAGCTTTCATCGTGAACAATGCCGGGCGAAAGTCCCCGGGCGACAAGGTCGAGAGGACCAGCCTTAGCAGGCAGACCTCCATACGACCCCTCGCGGGGGCCCCCGGGCCCCCGGGCTGAGATGCGCAAGCGGAGCCTCGTCGAGGGGTCATGGAGCAGCTCGCCATAGCACAGTAATGTGGGTCAGTGGGGACGCAACCCACCAACACAATGGGGCTTACTCTTGCCATGCTCACAAACCCTTCCCTTAATACAATCTCTTCATAAATCTGCTTCCCAGCTGTCATCTCATATCTTGGTCAGATTTGTCCGCACCACGGTGCTCGCTGATGATCATGGCCCTTGATAAGTAATCTGGTGCTACTTGTTCCAGTGTGTCATGTGCAAATAGGGGCGCAAAAAGGCTGTTGAGTCTCGAAAGCAAAACTGGTGGTTGATGAAAACATGCAGATCCACGGCAGTCGATTGTCATTGACTTGGGAAAGCTTGTGAACCGGGCACATGGCTGGGCAATGGATCTCCAATGAGCACCGTTAGAACTCGGCTTATGAGTGGATTGGCCGATCGTGATCCTAGCCTTGGCTGAATCGGATCGATCTTAAACCTCATCTTGCAAGACGGTATAAGTAATAACCAATATTAGATCGATGCTACCGTCCATATGATATGTGGCATGCATGCGAGCTCCATGATTGTATCCTTTTGTGCAGTAGAGTATGTGATTTCACTAGTTTCAACTGCAACGTAGGCGTGACATCACCGGTACCTACGGTGAACAGTGCGGCGGTACGCTACCGTGTCGAATATGGTCGGTACCGTGCAGTGTTCAACCGGGCACTCGATTGCAGGGAGACGGAGTGCTCGGGGTATGTTAGGGTTACTAGAGGGCAACCGACTGATCTTGGTCGGGTTAGTTGGGGGGTTAGGGTGGGTACGGGCGGGCTGTGGCGGAACGCCTTAGGGTATCTTCAAAACCCGGTTACTGAGCTCTCAGTTTGACCTTAGGGTTTTAAGTTTGGCAGGTCCTTAACTATGATGACGTCGCAGTTGAAACTAGTGAAGTTACATACCTACGTCCTTTTGTGATACACCCCGGCTCGCATGCAAATACATGGCGTGTCACAGATGATATGCCGCTGTTCCAGCGAGCCTAGCTCTCTGCCAGATGCGCATCATGGTCATTCGCCTTATCAGAAATGCATGCTCGCACGTCCTTTGAAGGTCACGTGCATGTTGTAGCACACAACCGTCCCTTCACATGTAATTTCGATCCCCTCAAGTTCGACATCAATCCGATATATACAGTGACCGAGATCGGACGGTCGAGCTGCCAGCATGTGCAACTTGTGCACCGTATCAAGCATTCGCTCAGCATGCAGCTAATGAACCCGGCGAGATTGTTAGTTCCAGCGGCCTCTAATGCTCCCAAAGTCGATAAAGATTGACCCGGCTGAGCAACGTGGCCAACATTTACTTGGCATTCCGTACATGCTAAAAACGTTACAGACGAGTTCGTCTTCGTGGTCTCATGGCTATCTAACCTCCACAAGACTTCTCTTGCTTTCAAGCTTATCTGGCGACTTTTGCGGCCCGTCACCAATAAAAAAAGGTTCATGGTACTACAAACCAGACAGATGTCTAGCCAAAGAATGTATTCAAGATTGTCTTGGTCAAAATCAGCAACACAATTACACTTGCTCAGTGGCTATTTTCCAACCATCTTATCATAATCAAGCGAAACAGAGAGCTGTTGTATCCTACCTATATTTTAGCGTACAGCGCCTTTATTGATTCCGTCTCTTCAGTCAGAGTCTGACCAGAAATCCGATTTCCGAACGTCGCCGTCTAGCATACAGGAGCAGGCTGCCACAATGGTGTCATCCTCGTCACACGCAAACAGGTCGACCTGCAATGGCACAACGAGTTCTTGTGAGCTAGCAGCACCTTTGGTATAGATGGCATAGGCACGCACTAGGCTGTCGTCGAAAGCCGACGAGACTCTGCCAACTTCCCTTCGAGGCAATTAGGGGAATGCCTAGATCAGTCCCGGCCAAGAGTTGAAAGCACCATAAAGGAGATAACCTGAGTCGCCTCGCGGAATCCTCTCTCAGCGAAGCCTACAATCACTAACCAATAACCTTTGTGCGTTTGGTCGAAGGCCGGAAATGATGACGAGGGGAAGCTACGAAGAAGCAAAATCACGTATCTCCGCAGGACGGTTGGCCTTGCTTACCATTGAAGGGTCTTCCAGTAGCTTCCGCGCAACAAGGAACCCTGCAATCGTCCACGTCTGGAACTTGCGGGCCTGCTTCCCGACGTAGCTGCAATCAATAAAAGACGCTTCAGGGTTCGGAAAGAATTTCACGTGGAGTTTCTTTTGGCAGCCCAGCAACGGCAAAGAGCAGCCACCGCAGTGCGTTGGTCCAGTCGCTTGTCTCTGTTTAAAGGAACTGAGTCTGGATGAAATTCAATGAAAACCAGTGGGGCCTGTGCAATGTTCGTAGTGGATGTTCCGCCCTGCTGTAGTGCACCAGTATTGAGGAGCGTCGCTCCTTGTTCTATGATGATTGCAAGCGGGAAAACCCATCTCGCTTCAGACCCCGCTTTCCTCCTTCAAATGCACCTTCCTGGGCAGCGCACAGATGACATCACCCCTTCGTAAAAGAGAGAACGAACAGTCCATGCTGAAACGCCACTCACTTCCCCTTGACGCCGTCAAAGTACTCGGGCCAGCCCAACTGCGCCAGCTTCTTTTCCGCTTGGTCCAGCGCACGCTGCGCCAGCTCGGGCCGCCCCCCCTTGATGCACGCGGCCGTGAAGTGCCACAGGAGCGTCGGCCAGGAGCCGCCGTTGTGGTACGACCACGCAGTGTTCTGGGGGGGGTGAACAATTTGAAGTTTTGAGGGGGGTGGGGGGGGAGACAAAGTTCCCGAATACTTCGTGCCTCCAGTGGACGAAACCTTCGATCTATGAACTGTGACTTTCAATCAGCTTCGGATGCAGCCGGCTTTAAGATGCCGTTCAAACTTCGCTTGACGGAAGACGTTCACCGATCGACCCTAAGGGACTGTGGGAGGCGGTGACTCGAATCGGGCGTGCTGATACGATCCTGCGTACGTACGTCCTGTCAACATCGACCAGCGTGGAGCCGGCGGTTCGGGCTAGGATGAAAGCAATAACGGTGTGGGAGTCCACTGGGTACGTGACCAGAAGCTACTTTACTGCTTCCTGGTGAAGCATGTTGCGATAAAGAAGGATAAGATGATGAAACCTGCCTCTTTCATGACTCCCCTGGCTTGCCTAGACGAAAGACAAGGATCGAAAAGAGAATGTAGAAGTATACAAGGGCCAACACAAGAAGAGGGTTTCCGTGGATGCGACTTCCTCCGTTCAAAGATTCACGTCCAGTATTCTCGACCAACCAACCTTCCTATTAAAGGCACTCCACTCTCTGGGCAGTCAGGTAACAAACCAGATCACAGACCAATAGCGTACATATCGCGTACATATCGCGTCATCTTTTTGACACGATAAACCGATGGCAGCGCTGAATCTGCAGGAGATTCTCTCACCTTGGGATCGCACCCAGTGACGATGCGCCACTCCTCCCCAACCATTGCTGGGTAGCAGATCTTGAGCGGCATGTCGGCGATCAGGTCCACCCACTTCTGTTCGTACAAGTCCAGAATGGCGCCCGTCTGCTCGCGGGTCGCCAGTGACGACAGGATCGCCCAGCAGTTGCCCAATGTGAATACCCGGAAGTCGAGCTGCGCGGGAGCGACGCCGCCAATGAAGTAGCCTGGACAGGAAATGAATGCGGGTTGAAGGAATCTAGGACTACTTGAAACATAGAGCGGCGGGTTTTCGCTGTGGATGCTGGACAAGGAATGTCCACTCAGGATTATCAGCGAGCTAAGAGAAAAGGTGACTTCGACACAAATTGGCAGCTGTGGATTGGGCAATCTGCGCACAAAGCTTTGGGGGAAATGCGTATCCCCAGAATCTATGAGGCATTTTCTCAGAGCGAACACGAGAATATTCTTACGCACCCTATGCTCTCGACCCTCCGTAATGCACGGCAGCAGTACTCTGCTCACCGGATCTGACGCCCAGACAAAACGCCCAAACCATCGTCTTCAGATATCTTCATTTCCTGAACACAACATCTGGAACGAAGCGGGAAAACGAAGCGGAAAAAGCGGGTAAGCATCACTCACCTCCCTTCTCCGGCATCCAGTCCATGAGCCACGTGGGAAGACTGTCCGGGTACACATTGAACTTGTTTGCGGCGTCCTCGCTGTACTCTTCCGTCTGGTACCGATAAATCTCGTTCAGCCGCTCGAAGTCGAGCCAGTAGTACTGCCGCAGGTGGAACGACAGCGCGCTTAACCGGGCGGTAATCGCGTTCAGTAACCCCTGGTTATCCTCCGGGGTTAGCATCTCTCGGGCACACCGAAGGGCTGCGTAGTACAGCGACTGGATTTCAAGGGGATGCCCGTCAACGCCCATGCGGCGGTCAATCATGCAGGAGCCGTCAGGAACCTAGATGGGAAGCAGGTACTGGGTTAAGCATGTTCGTTGAGGACGAGTATGCTGGTTCGTAAGTGGATTGCGGTGGTCGTTTTACGCCCGGCCGTCGATCATGCACGAGCCGTTGGGGACCGGGCAAAGAAGAAGTGCACTCAGATTGAAAACTGGTTTCGTCAGGTTGGCGATCGGGTCAGACTCAGGAGCTCACGAACCTACCAATCGTCTTGGCTCGCAGGCCGCAAAAGTGCTTGGTTGGGAGGTTGATCGAAAGACGTGCCAACTCCGAACAGCGGCTAAACAATTCCAAACGGCAAATAAAAGGTGGTTCTCGCTGCCCTGACCAAGTGTGCGATGCGCTATGAAAACGACGACTTCCGTCTTTAAAGTCCCTATTGGCCAGGCTTTTATCTAACACACACTCTGTCGAGAATGACCAGTGTTTGGCAGGTTATGCACCCGGATGCAAGGAATCAGATTGATCTACCTCAGTTGAAAAGACTACAGAGCACGTCAGACAAAGCTCCACGTCAGCTTGCTGACCTCTTTGATTCGTCTTCTCATGCAGAATGAGGGGAGCCCGATTTGAGAGGGCGCACACTTCGCAGGAATTTCCCAGGCAGAAGATGTGTCCAAGATCAACCAACCAGCAAACTACCTACAAGGAGGCGGAATAACTTCATGCTGCCCCACTCACCAGGATTGTCGGGAACATGTCGAAGCCGTCTCGGAGCATGAGCTTGAGGATGAGGCGGATGCCCTTCTGCACGGCGGGGCTGGTCTGGACGGCCGTGTCCTTGGTCACGCGCAGGTAGGCGCGCAGCAAGATGATCCACCACAACCCGGAATCTACCTGCGAAACGCATTCAAAGAACGTTCAGTCGTAAAGGACCAAGCGTAGCGCCGGTACCCCGCTGCTTGCAGGGGTCATTAAAGATTGAGAAGTCTGGGTCGGTTTGCAATAAAGCACAGGTGCTCTGAATCATTCGCGGGAGCTGTGTTAATTTTAAGACCGATGATCCAAACAGGGGGTGGCAGGACTGCGGCGCATGCTTTCTGATGCGATCGGCGGACGTCACAAGACCAGTCTTTCTTTGCCAGCTTCCTCCACCCTTGCTCTGCACTCTTCTACCCTCATCGTATGAGCAAGAGGAGGTTCTACGGGGGCTAGAAGCACTATGCGTCCAACCGCAAACACAGAAAACGCTACATGAGGAAATAGTGGAGAGACCGGAGAACTACTCACTGGCGCAACTCGTCCGATGGCCGACTCTCCAAAGTCGGCGTCCAGCCGCTCGTGCTCCTTGCCGTCCGAGCACATGCGCACCTGCACCTTGAAGCTGGCGGGCATCAGGCCCTCCCCAGGGCTGCATAACCAGGAGCGAAACAGTGAGTTAGAGAAGGAAAGGTTTGATAAAACCAGGAACTTGGTGACAAGCAGGAACGTAATGGCAGGTTTGGGCTGCCTGACGAAGGAGGGGGGTAAACGAAACCAGGAAGTAAGTGACAAGCGGGAATGTAACCGCAGGTTAGAGCCGGCTGACGAAGGAGGGGGTTAGATGACACCCAAAAAAACAAAAAGCACCAGGAGAAAGGAGAAGAACATGCCGGGGGGCGACTGAGGCAGAAAGGAGACGGATTGCTTGGGGCGAATTTCTGAGGTCGTTCAGCTAAACAGCCGCGACAACTTCCAAACCTCGACCAGCATCGATTGCTCTCTCACGAAGCAGCTTTTCATTGGAACGCTGGCAATCTGTGTCTTGATTCGTCTGATGGTTCTCCAACGCTCAATACAGGCTGGCCACGTGGCAGGACGTGAAAGGCTCGCCTGAAGCAGTCCATGGTCTTGTCCCAACTCTGGAGCTGCAGCGTTTGCAGCAGAAAGTTCTTAACGACCTCCGGCTCGTTCTCCATCATGAAGGCCAGCGCGCTTGGCACAAAGTCGCGGATAAACACCTGAAGACGCAAGTCAATATTGCCGAGCTCAGTGGTCGTCAGAAGTCAGAAGTCTCCAACAGACGGGGAGGGAAGAAGAGCATAATGAAAAGTGACAAGAGTTCTCCCCAGACGGATACACACGGTGATTAACAGCTCTTTCTGCGAGTGTAATACGGAATCCTATGCCTATGCTGCTGCCAGCTGCTCCTCTGGAGTCTTGATTATGTTTCATCAAGTTTCCAAGCTCTTGCAACCGTTTGACTGAACTACTCACCTACAAGACCTTCCGAATATTAGCCACTGTATATGAAACACGGGTACTAAAATCCGAAGACAACGGTACAAGACCAGAAAGAGACGATCTTGTGACCCGTATGTCATCAATATCCTCGGCTCTGCTTCGCAGATAAAGGGGAAGATTCGAGTGTTTGACCTGGTCATAGTTTACGGCTTCCACCGACGGATCTGCAGCGGCCACCGTCCCCACTGGCTCCCCCTGATACTTGACAACGGAGCCTCTGAGCAACCTCCAAGCCTCCTCAATCATCAGCTGCTTCCTGGCACTGGAGCGCGTTGCCGCCTTGTCAGTCCAATCTGTCGTCACCAGCTTGGCAGCATTGTGGTGACCTGCAAATTGTGAAACGGTCAGAGGCTATCCAGCTCTCACCTTTTTGTAAGCAATATATGCAGAGGACTCAGGAGCACGATCTTTTCGATTTTCTGAATGACTTTCGTGTTCGGAAGACAATCTCTTGCATGATACGTGATTCTTTTGATGACGCTTGGTTTCCACAACTCTCAATTGCATGAGGGTCAAGCTGGCATCCCAAGTTTGCGTGCTGGTTGCCGCACCGAAAAGAGACCCAAGTTGTCAGCTTTCATTCCATCACTGTAACCTGTTCGTTGTAGCATGCTTGCTTCTGCAGCGTCAACCAAATTAGCACGTCGACATTAAGGGCCTGAAAGTCCTTGGTTGTCAAGATGTTGCAATCATTCTGCACCGCTTGCAACTCTTTCTTGAGTCTTCTATGGAAAGGACTGACTCACCATGACTGCTTGCGCTGCGCTCGACCAGCTTCTTGAGCCCCTTCTTGATTCCCTTCTTCGTCTTGCCAGTCAAGCGAGCAATCTCCTCAGCCTTGAGCACAATCTCCGGCTCAGACATGATCTTTGCCCCATCGGGAACGCTGACTTCTTCTTCAATCGTCTCCTGAAGCCGTAAAGCGCTCCTGGCAACATACCCAACTCTGCAAGGAGGGATAAACAACATCAAGCGCTTGAAGTTTTTCTAGGATGAGCATACGTAAGCACAGGTCTTTAGCGAAAACCAGCATGGGTTCCGAGTGATTGTGTTCACAGCTGCTTGTAGATTCAGGGCGAAATGCTATTCGCACTTGACATCAGCGTATATGCAAGGTTCGCAATTGCAGGAATTGTAGAACGTTCAACCACAGAAGAGAAATTATTGGCTCCGTGGTTCGAGGAACCAGAAGGATAAGCTATTCATCAATTGCAGTCAGTGCGCAGGATGTGCATTCCTGCCGACAGCAAGAAGGGTCAACAAAAAAACACACAATCAATTAAGTATGGCTTGATTGTAAGTAGAAACTCACCGTCCATTGATATTCGCTGCCGCCGCCACCCGTTTCAGTTGGTTTTCAAACTTCTCGTTTCCGTTAGCCCCTCGACTATTGCTTCTAGTCAGGGAAGGAGTCACACCATTTCCTTCGATCTTCTTTTCTGGAGGGATCACACTGCCATTCTCTTGAGACTCTGATCCAACTTCAGTGCTGCTTTCTGTGCTTTCTGTGCTCGTGGCTGTAGTGACTGAGCCTTCAAAGAAACTCTCCTTGCTTGCATTCACCGTGCAACTTCTCCGCCATATGCTCTTTCCTGTGTTTGTCAATGAACCTCTCAGATCAACACGAAGAACGTCAGAGCTCCGCCCTAGACTCGAAAGACCTCCCCTTCTTGCCGTGCCCAAGCAAGAATGCCGAGTACCTCTATCAATAACTATTGGAAGTACAAGTCCCCTACAAGTTGAGCTGAGATCCCGTGTCGAGTGCGAATCCTCAATTGATGCTTGAGAGCGCTGCAGGGGAGGCGCCCCACACGAATGCAGCCCCCTTGCAGCCTGGATCGCCAACATGAGTTCTGGCTGTCCGCAATCTATGCTAGCGTCAGTGCCCAACTGCAAATCAGCAACTCAATCTCTAAAGAGAACTGCTTGCCCTCGAAGACGCCACCTGTAAATCTGAAGAAGGAAAGCACAAGTTTAGCGCCTCCTCAGCGCACAACCAGCTGGTCAACGCCTCGTCAAATTTCAACTTTCAAGCTGACAACAACTCAAGCAGAAGTGCAATATAAACTCGGGGCCTACCAAATGAAGTTCGGACTAAAATGAAGGGCCAGGATCGCCCTTGACCGATCGGACGGTGCACGCGCGGTAATGAATCTGCCGGATTTGGCCGGTGACGCGTTGCATGTACCGGAGAGGACGCCACGTCAGCACCCCCCGCGGCGGTGTTCGAGTGTGTTCGATCA